CCGCTAGTGATATAGACTAATATGGCCAACTTCTCCTTAAAATCATTAACGAACCCAAAAAACCGTTTGATGCCATCGATACTGCACCGCCCTTTATCCGCGTAGATAAATAACTGCTGCAATAGACGCTCCGTACGCACTCGATCGGACATCCACTAGGCCCCATTGACCGGCCACGACGTACGTGGATCTTACAAAAACTCTACCCCACCTTGGGCTAGTTGAAATCGTCCGCCATACGGTCCTATGGGATCACGGGAATCTGGTCGGGTCGGCACATCAATACATAGTCGACCATTAATTGCCGCGCACTGGCGCTTAACCTATAGATGAACCCTCGGAATGCACCTATAGTAAACCGTATCGCTTTGTACGATAACTGATCATGGCCTTCCTAACTAATATGCCCATCGGACGGGGTGTTATAATGGACCTTTAACCCATATCGGCGTAAATCTAACATCCATTCCATCGGGCTAGCGGTGCCATAGACCATAAATATATTGGTCATAATACGAATCCATTCGCGGAATGTCTTCGTTCCTTGCCGCGCCTGCTACGTGAATGCCACTAATAGTGAACTAGATCTCGTGGGTAAATTTTCAAATACGGGTGAACTAGACAATATCGGTGTGGACGATATATATAGTGGTGGTATCAATAGCGGACTGCTACTATACCTCTCATCACCAAATATATATCCGGGATCCTCCATTAGGCTGGGGCCCGTCCACTCCCTATTAAATTGGTTCTGGGTCCCCTACAATAATTCGCGGGCATCTAGGTCTAATAAATATGCCTTATGTATAATCATAAATCGCGAAATCTTAATCACGCTAGACAAAATGGGCGGATAACTATAGGGGTCCTTCTATGGTCGTCCGCCGTCGTGGTCGCTCACGCCTAACACGGCCAACGCACATACTAACGCGCACTCGTATTCGCTAGACTGGATTTGTTGGTTTAATAATTCGATCACAAAATCCATACACCGTGCTTCGACGGGCTCTAACCGGTTAGCCTAGTCGTCGGGGTTCTCGCTCGGGATTAGGTCGGGACGGCCTGTGTGGGTACGACCCTCGGCGGCCCGCTATAATGCGTCCTATGCTATACGCTACCAGTGTTTAAACCGGTAAATGGGACTGTTTCACTTATAGGGGGTTTATATGCGGGCGAAAAACATCAATATCCGCTGGTATGGCTCGACGTAACGCTCTAACTCGGTGCTCTCGTGCATATATGCCTATAATGGCTTGGCGGGAATGCTTTGCATATCGGTTTATGCGGCTTCAATACGTAATAAATGACCGGTTTGCTTCGTGATACTCTGGCTTTTACTTGCGACGCTAAATATGGCGTCCCATATCACGCGTGCGGTGGCCTCGGGGCCCTCGGCGTCCTCGGCTGGCGTTTCAATGCATATTCGTAATTACTTAGACGTCTGGCCGTGCAAATAACGTGCCCATCCGGTTCGGTCTAACCACGGGTTTGCCTTATTAATTGCACCGGCCTAGATAACCGCGGGCTGCTGCTATTGCTGGGTAAATATCGCTTATATCTCATCCACGGCTTACGCGACGCGGCGGGCCTAGGGCGGTGGGGCTTCGGGCTCGTACGTGGCCCCGGGCTGGCGAATATAAATATAATGCGATCCAAATTTGCTACGGAAAAACCGCTAGCAAACGACTCATTGCATTACTTGATCTCGCTTCTCCTATCCGGTGGCCGCCTCGGACGGCCGTGGTTTCCGGCTTTATTGATACGGGGAAAACTAATGGTTGACCCACCAATGCTTCCGAATACTCTCGGGGGACCGACATATATACGCGCAAAATAAACACTTAATACCATCAAAATGGACGGTTAAACCCGCGATAGGCTGTTCTACTTACGTGGGGAACGTACTAGGCTCGTTGTGTACTTCGTCCCACTCGTCGATAATGATTTCCTTTACCCGCTACGTAACACTTATAGGGATACAATGGTCACCCTGGCGTTTACTTAAATGGCCGATAATATCTCGGGGAACCACGGCATGGCCACATTTCTTGTAAATGGTAACGTGGTATATTAGATTATATAAAAAATAATCATAGGCGTTAATTGGGTTATCCATATTGACGTTGGAAATATATAACCGTTACTCTATGTCCGCGGTGGATGGACGAAATGATATCTTGTGGGATAAACGTAAATAATGCTAAAATTGAAATTAAATATTAGGGAAATCCCCCTGAACACTACCCCTCTACTTATAATATGAAACCCTACTTATTCGAATATGATAGATCGCGTGGTTTGGTGGCTGGTGGTGTACTAGTGTGTGATAGTGTGTGATGGAAACCCTAAATGCCATCCGGTCGCACCCCATCAAAATAATTAACTAATTTTTCGATCCCTATAATGACCCTTTAACAATGGCTGATGGGCTTTAAATTCTGCCAAAATACGTGGGGCGCGCTGGATTAAATTTCCCCGAGCTTCGATAGGGATCCGATCAAAAAAAGCCTACTGGTATCTGGATTGGCGTTTCTACTGGTATGTACAAATGGGCTCCCATAGTTAACGAAACCCTAGTCTACTGGGATGAACTGCATCCCACTTACCCCCATGGGATAGGTCACGTGCCACCCCGGATCACCAAGATGCCGCGGACTGACCCGAACTTTCGAGGGTTTATGTCGGTGCCCGTGTTTACCTTTATGTATTCATTGTTGACGCGTCCATTCGCGCGCGTGTCCTTTGTTTATGTACGCGTCCGAATGTTGTTGTGATGTCCTTTCACCATATACATGCAGACTTGGTGACGTTCGAGGACGAACGCTCCCATGTCTTACCAGTTTCCTTTGTTGTTATTATTTATTTGTTACATTGCTGGTACGTGGCCACTATCTGGCATGTTCGTGTCTGATGCCTTCCATGTTCGGGTATCCTGAGGACATGATCCCGTCTAGTGGGGGAGGATGTGATAACACGGCCTTGTATGGGGATACGAACGGTCACGTTACCCTACTTTTTCTGCCATACGGCACCGCCCTTAAGGCATATTTCTATCCTTTTGTACACTTACTTAGCAATACACACCTTTCCACCTCCAGAATCTCAATAGTGAGGGTGAAGCAGACCAAGATCAGGATGAACTTACAAGATATCTTCAAGCCGGTAAGCCTCTTCTTTAACCTTATTAACCCCTCTTATAAGGCTGCTTAGCTCCCTAATAAAGTCATTTCTAAATTATTACTCTCTCTCTAGGTATTATTCAGACTACCCCATAGGCCTTCTGGAAGACGAATTATTCTGAATACCCTACCCTTATAAGGGTAGCCCGTAATATCTTCTCTATTCCTATAACTAACGCAGGAGTAGAAAGGCTATTCAATTTAGCAAGGGATATCTGTTACTACCGCAGAGGCCGTCTAAACGCAACAACAATCCAGGATATCATGATGTATTTATGCCTTACCCAATTTAAGATAGAAGATAAATAGGTTAAACTAGCCCGGATCCTTGAGGTCCCTGAAGAGGGTGAAAATGAGCAGATTTCAGCTAGTATGGAAGGTATTGATCCTATTAGTGACACTGAGGAAGGTAACGGGGAAGCGAGGGTATCTGTACGGGCAGGGAAGAGACGAAATAGTGTTTTAACTGATCATAAGAGTGAAGAAAGTGAAGATAATAGTGGTATACCCTTAATAAGTCAAACACGTCACTCTGGAAGGGCAAGGAAGGTACCAAAGATCTATGATGGGTTCGAAATTAGTAAATAATACATTCTTTTAGTTCTTTTTATCTTATCTTTTAAGCTTAATTAAAGACTTTATTATCTAGAATCTTACCGCTCGAATACCTAGAATACTGTATAAATTGCATAAATTATGTCTCTTAGTATCGTGGGCCGCCAAGAGGCCCATGGGCCGGCCCGTCCATGGACAGAATAAGCCGGCCCGTCCATGGACAAAAGTTCCGGCCCATGGGCCATGTCAATGTCTACTTAATACGCTAGACCAGTCAGAAAATTTTGCTTTCGCCATATTTACGGAGTATACTATACACAAATAAATACGCCAAGGCAGACTCTGCCTGCTCCTTAGCTCCGGAAGTATGCCAAGTTGAAACAAGCGTATCTTGGCAGTCGATAGATACAGGCTCTGCGAGCTACTAGTATCTTCTAAGTGGGGAAATTAAAAGTGAGACAAGTCCACTTGATCCTACATGGTGAGTGGTACTAGGGCTATCCGCTTCGAGTTTATCCCTGTCCGAGACAATCGCGAAAGCTAGTCGCTAGGGTCAGCCAACCATCTAGGAGAGGGTACGTTGGTCCGTCCTCGGCAAACACTACCATTTCATACTAGTCGAAAAGTAGGGTTAGTAGAAGCGGAAGCGAGACAGGAGGCCTCGAGAGGGAATATCCGGTCGAGAGGAATAGGGCCGTCAATCCGGAGGTTTCCCCATCAGCACTTAAGCGAGGACGAAGATTACAGGGATACTCGAAATACCTAGTATTTTATATATTATGGTAACATAGCAACCTCGGAAGCCCGATGCGGTACGGTATTAGCGGCCGCACTATATGGTATTCCAGTGGCATCTAGAGAGACTTCCTTCCTTGGGCAACGTTAATCTATATTAGAGATTATGTATACTAGTCTATATAGCTTCCGACCGGTTCGAGATATACGTCTAGGTCGAGTAAGCGAGCCGTTTCCAGTCACGTCGTAATATTAGGAGCAGTGGGGCGATTGTTTGGGGGCGGCGGATCTCGCGGACCAACCCGAACGGCAGTGCATCATTTCAGGGTCCATACAGGGCCAAAATGGGGCCAAAACGGGGCCACAAGGACATTAACTGACCTTGGAGTAGGTTGTATGGAAGCGAAGATACGCGGATGTGGGGACACTAGCTACGGTAGAAGAGACACGCGAGATCTAGTCACGTGTAACACGTGTAGCCTAATATCACAACTCCTCTCTCCAGTCTTAAGAGTCATAGTCACCTACACCATGGGCTCGGATCAGTCCTTAAGTCCGGAGACTGATTTTTCCAACGCCTTTGTTTATGCGTGCCATACCGGTGAACTGTCAAGGGTCCAGGAACTCCTCGCTAGCGGGCGAGTAACTGCCGAGGATCTCGATCGGGGACTCGGGGCCGCAACTAGACAGGCGCAAGCAGAGATCGTGGCTACCCTCTTCGATGCCGGTGCCAGCGTGTCAGACTGGGCGATGGGCGCTCTCCACGGTATGTCGAAGCAGGACCTGCCTGTGATACGACTCTTCCTCGATCATGGTCTTGATCCAAACGCTATGCACTCTAATGGCGAGCTTATCCTAAGGTATATCTTGGCCGTTCCCGTCACTGTTCTAGTTTTAAGACTTATCTTAGATCATAGCTCTATGTTAGATCCTACCTGTGCTCGCGAATTACTCTCACGGGGGGCGGACCCTAACCGGGTTGGCGTGCGGGGCGTATCTCATCTCACTGGCGCTATTGTTGCTAGCGAAGATACGTCTCTGGTCGAACTGCTTCTTGAATATGGTGCCAAACTTGAACAGGATCTCCTCTTTGATGCACTACGTCCACGCGGACGCCAACCGCAGCTTATGACGTCGTTTTTGCTGGATAAGGGCCTCGATCCTAACCAATTCAATGCTGACTGGGGCACTCCACTACACTTTGCGGTCCGAACTGGTAAGCCAAATATCGTTAAATTACTACTGGACGCGGGTGCAGACCCCACGGCGCGATCTGCAGGCAAGCGCTACCATGGCGAACCCCCTTCAGCGGCCGCTCAGCATCAGCAAAATCCTGAGATCAAAGAACAGCTACTAGATCTCCTCCGGTCTAAACAGTTGCAGGATACATGAATGCCAGAGGAATCGCTAATCTTGAGTTGGAGCGTTTGGGCCGGCGCTTAGCACGACACACGTGTAACACATAGACTAAATCCGTGGACATACGTTCCCGCCCTAGGTTGATCTGCTAGCGAAGGCTAGTCTTTGTCGCTCGCTTCCATTGGTATCCAAGTCCTCTGTATATGACCTCGCAAAACTTTGCCAGTAAGGGACGCGCTAGAGTAAGCGTGCTTAGGAAAATGCCTCAGTGGCCACCTATTTAGTCACTAGCGTAGGCGCGAAGAGCTTTCATATCCGCTACCCTAGAATAATACTTCGTCCGTATCGATCCGCTGTTCTTGTATATAGAGATACAGTTACTAGTTAGTTCTCACAATGCTAACTTCCATACCCCTATCGAGTAGGCGGAGACCCACGGACACTGCCAAGCGTAAAGTTACGGACTAAGCGACGGAAACGACACTACATAGTACATAGTAAATACAGTAGTATATTTGCCAAGCCTAGGTCATTCGACCGAATATTTTGGTTATATTAGGTCCTATATCGATTGGTATTCAAGTATCTGGGAAGTCGTATCGAACGATATCACATAAGATATCCCGTAGAAGAGGAGTAGAGCGATACACCTAATACCACAACGCTTCTATAGCCTCAGCTCTTAGGCATAAAATAACGAAGACCAAACTCTGCACGGTTGCCCTACCTAACAAGACCCTTGGCGACCTTAGGATCCGGAGAGCGACGGGGTCCATTGCGTCTAGGCCCGGGGGTTTTTCCAGATAGGGGAGTTTCAGTCGATCTATTAAATTCCGTAATTTTCGGGAGGGAAGCAAAACCTACCAGTAATATAGTCCTCGACCCCCCACCTCCTATATTGATACCTACATTTATCACTTTTAGTATCGCGGTGGTCGTTAGACAACGACCAAGAACGTCTTTATAATCAAAGTCGTGTCGGTCATCGGATAACACCGCTCAGCAAAACTCAACCTCGATTCCCCGCGTGCCATTATCGACCATGAGACTACTATGGTTTCTCACGATCTGCCTGCTTTTCACAGTCTCAGCAAATACACTAATAATCGGTAATATATATCTCCCCTATTATATAATAAGATTGAACAAGACAAGTATCTCCGTACTGATAGGAGGACTAGATCCCGTTAACGATGATCTACTCGAGGAGCGCTCCTCACTCGTCAAACGATCTCAAACCAAGTGTGGACCTATTTTGGCTAGCAGCGACAGCATAACGCGCAATCTAGGGTTCATTCGTTTTATACGTAATGCGACGACCCTAGAGAAAAGGATGAACTTGCCAACTGTGGAGGGCATGAGGCCTTACTATAGTGTAGAGAGACCTAAGATTGATCCCGAGGGTCAAATTGTGAAGCACTGGTCGGCAGATGAACCAGAGGATATAACCACTGGAATCTTCAAACTCTTTAGCGACGTGGAAGACGGTGGTCAGTATAGCACTGGTGGACAACTCTCGGGTTGCACTACTCTGTTCGTCATCTACTGTCCTATTCCCTTGGGAATGGTCCACCATTCCACGGATTTCGTCCGTGCACCCCATAGTAAAGAGTCGGGTAGACTGCAAAGACCTAGTCCGCCATTACACGCAAATAGCTCATGCACTTCGGCCAATCATCGCGCGATATTCTCTAGTACTGATTCTGACCTGTCAATTCAAAGGCGCAACCGAAAAGGCAAAGCGTGTTCTCAAACGCGAAGCACGCGTTCCGAAAAGAACTTGAATGCTATCGCGCAGTTCTCAATGTCTTCCTCGACGATATTGATTTACTCCGCAGCGGTGATATAGACCTACCAAGCCGATCTTGTCGTTCAATGTCGCCTGCGTATCCAGTTTCTTCCCCGGAATGGCCTTTTCTTCCCTTGTATTTGGATTGGGGTGAACATGTTGCCATATGCACCATTTGTCGTTACGCCATATCTACGGAAGGCTCTCAGGGAAGCATTCACTTTCGAAAGAAACATGATATCATTCTAAAAGAGCGGCAAGGGCTCGATCAATACCTTCATCAGCACAATTTTAAGAGCGGTAGCTTAGCGAAGCCTCGACCAAATGGATCACTATGCCATTCTGCCCTCAAGACCCTTACTGGCTTCCAATGCCGCCAATGTCCTTTCCTCAGCACCAGCCTTGATTTGATGGGACGGCACATGACAAAGATGCATGTTTTTGATAGGCCTTCTCCACGACCAGATCTTGAACTGCTATATGCAATAGTCTTCCTACAAACCTGGACCCGGTCAACAGCAACGCAATCATACTGGGTAGTGCTCTCTGGCCGAGGCGATGGTCCGGAAGGTATTGATAGACGTTCTCAATCCAGTTCACCATCGACCCCCAACATGACCTTTGTGCGTGATCTTCGACAGCGAGAACGGCGGTTTCAAACCATTGACCAGCAGAGAAACGCCCTCACCTGCACGGGCATAGACACCTATGAAGGAACCCGACCGTGGCTGGAACGGACAAGGTGGATAAGCACGTACCAGGGAATCCCACGGGATATCCTCAAGCGGATGATGCTCCTTCCAGCTTCTTCTAGCATCGAACCTGGCCTCAAACTGGGTTCTTATCAAGACGAGGCGTTCATGAGCCCGCCTGCGGATGAAGACCAAATTTACCGTTTAGTTTCGGCTCTTGACCTAGTGCTTGACCGCTGTGAAGAAACCATGCAGCATACTGGACAACCAATTCTAGCTTGGCTGAAGAGCCATATAGCCGCGGAAGCCTCGCCGCGTCCATTCTCTTTCCTCGGAACCCGACAAAGCAGGAGTCGGTACCGGCGTACGTGGAAACAGTTCGTCACCTTCATTCTGCGGGCATTCCGGCTTGGACCTTTAGCTTGCCAGGAACTATTGAGGCTGAAGTTTCCACTTCAGCTCTTTCACGTCCTAGAACAGATTTGGGCCAACTCACTTCAGGCAGTGGCTAAGGATTTGTCTTCCCGGCGGCTTTCCACGGAAGCAGTGTCGAGTCTGGAAGCAACAGCCAATGCAACTGATGACGAGATATCTCGGGAAGTGTACAATGAAGACAGTGCAGACGGACTTAGTGTTTCTTGGAGCGATAAAGACGAAGAAAGTGGCTCGTTGAATACACTTTTGCCATGTGTTCCGATCTCTTCGTCGCTTCAGGCTCTTCCAGATCATTTGATCGAAAGTCTTTTCAATTTATGTGTTCTATTGATCACGCAAGAATTCACAGATGGAAATCCGCAGGCTAGTGTGCTGGTCTATTTTAGCGGGGTCCTAGGCATAAGCTCCAACGGAGCTCATTTCCTTCCGGCAAAACTGTTCACACCCTATCTCTCCGCCTTGATATATATACAACGGCTACTTTTCCTAGAGTATGCTCTACCATATCGGGAGTACCCCTACCTGAATTGGCCCAGTCGGCCTCGCACGGATCATCTTACCCGACTGCAGAATGTGAGGAAGCAATACATGCTTCCCGGTTCGTTGACTGCTTTGGGTGAATTTCAATCCCTACGAGCCTTTGGAAAACGCCAGGCTGCGCTTGATCCTCCATCATTCTTCCACCATTGGAGCTCTGATGGCAATACGGTATCGCTGGAGAACGTTTCTGTTACCCTGAGTTCATTCCGTGCGCTACCAGCGTACTTTATTCGACAGTCCCATGAGCTCTGCGACACCCTCCTACTGGGATTGAGTCCTGCCGTCGATCTTAGTGCTATCTACGACCCAATGGTAAACAACCAGCCCGGGCAGTCTTTCGTCAGCTACCCTGCAAATCATCTTCGGGACCAGTACCTCCAATTAGCTGATCAGGCCGCCGGTGAAAGTAACTTCGGATTGATTCAGGAAGGAGCATGGCATCTTGATGCCGTGCATCGCTATCTTCTCTATCATGATCAGCTTTTGGGAAATATTTCGGGAATATTCATAACAGCAGGTGGTCAAATGCCTCGGCTCAAAGAGCTTGAGGAGATTGAATATACGAACAGTGCATCATCTGAGCGCGCCATATACGTCTATCGGAGCCAAGTTATCTATCTCACACGACATAGTAAGAGCAAACGATCCACGGGTCGCGAGTTTATTGTCGCTCGATTCTTGCCCCCGTGTGCTGGCCATATTCTCTTTCTGTATTTGGTTTATATTCGGCCTTTCGCCGAGCTACTCTGTCGGGAACAAAACGCTTCCTCCACGGCTCTTCGCCCCACCGATAGCTTCCTGTTTCGATCTCTGGTAAGCGGGAAGCGCTGGCAGCCAAGCCATTTTCACCAGATTCTCACAGATGCTACAAGCAAGGTGTGGTATCATCGGGTTCATCCGCGTTGGTATCGACAAATATCCATTGCAGTGGCTGAGAAGCATGTTCAGACGGCTTCTAGATGTCTAAATCGGTTTGACGATAAAAGCGCCCAGGCAAATCCGGATGTGGTTTTTGCCTGGCAAAGTGGGCATCGTCCTTTGCAGCGGGCCCAAACATATGGCTTGGACGGCGCCTTTCCTACCAAGCTCCAACCTGCGCTTCTCCGGGTATACGAAACAGCATCACACGCATGGCACGACTTCTTGTACCCTCAAAGCAGAGGAACGGTTCAGCGATCGAAAACCGTCTCGGTCCCTACTATTGAGCTTAACATCCCACCTCCGCAATCCGCGGAATGCTTGGCGAAACGATCCTTGGATAGCCTACTAACCCTACCTGTAGCAAAACGGCAACGTCCTTCCTCTCCCGAATTGATACCACTGCCAGTTGCCGAATCTCACAGATGGCTGCCGTATCTTCGCATGCTGTCAGAGTGCCGAGTGGTCCTTTGCACCGTCTATGGGGGATGCTACACGCGCTGCAATCTCTCCCGACATTTGCTTGAAGGGCACCAGGTTCAATTTGCTCATCGCAGACGGATCCTCGCTAGTCCGTTACTAGAAGGGTCAGCTTTTGCTGACACACTGGCAAATGTGGTTCACCCGTCCGACGGCGTCGCGGAGATTGCGGGGCTGCCAAGTCAAGTTGGATTTATTTGCCATACCGATGAATGTCAATTCCGAAGCAGCAGCCAAGAGAGAATGCGACAGCACTACAATTCTATGCACCAGTGGCGGGTTAGGACTATGGGCCCGATACCATGGCGCCAAGCCTATCTTCAAACATTGTTTCAACAGAAGCAAAACATTAAGTATTTTACCGTCATGAAAAGCATCGGCGCTGTTAAGTTATGCGATGTTACAGATGGTGGAATTGGTATGGAGACAGGCGAATAAATGCAAGCAGAAAACTGGGCCCCCAGAGAGCTATAGGCGTCCGGCCATATACGAGAAGGAGCTATAGCCTAATAGTATATAACACCAGATTTTTCGTGGGCTTCGAGGAGTGTACAAGCACTGTCGCGGTAGCACTACATCCTTGATGACCCTAAAGCTTGCAGTGTCTCCATTGTACCTCCGTGTCCTGCACGATTTCCCTGTTGTCCTCTGCACCACCCATAGCTGTTGCTACACACGACAGAATCCCCCCTGGCATCCATTAGAGAAGCATCGGTTAGAAAGTAAACAGCCGGAGAAATCGAACAATCGAGTCAATTGATGGTTTCGCTATCCCCAGTACTGTAGCCCCGAGGTAGTGCTAACGAGATTCGTGGCCTGCCGATCGGGCTCGGCTTCCTCTGCCACCTTCTTAACTGCAATTTGCGCTCAGTCAGCAAAGGCCGGATCTGACAGCGCTATAATAAAGATCACTATGGCAAGTTGTGCAACGGGAAATGATTCCCTGGCACGAGGCTTTCTTACAGACACTGTTCCACCAAAAACAATGTCAACAGTAATTTGCCGTGGTGCTTGTAGACCAGCTCTCGTCCCCCACCCCTCAATATATATATCGGCATGCGAATGCCCCGAATAATGCCCCATCATCCGCTGCTAAGCAGCCTTATTCGTCTCCTATCGCCAGTGATACAGGGGACCAGATTATGCGTCGATACCAACAGAGTCTCTCAGCCATCTCGAAATTCAATCGCCACAGCCCACCATGTGTCCGAGGTCACTCCGTTCATGAAGCGGGCCGGCATCCATATCTATCTCGAAGGGCTAGAAGTAAAAGATCTCGGTCCTAGTTATCGAATACCACGACAGGATCAGGAGCCGGTCCTTTTTACTATTTGTGAGAGCGTTTGCCGAGTTCTCGAGGCCGCGATGGCAGTGCTAGTCCATGACCAGAATCTAGAGGTGCACCAGCTCAGTCGCCGTAACGCCCGGCTTCTTAACACCTTTACCCGGGGAGAAACGTCCCAGGACCGTATTTTAAGTCTCCAGAACGAGAAATCGCGCCAGAGATACATCACTACTTAGCAGTAATTAATATACTACTAGGAGCGCGTCGTGGAGCAGCAACAACTTCGGGACAATCTCTTTTAACCTAGCCCCCGGTAGCTTAAGATTTAGGTCGAGGTGACTAAGACCGCGAGCGAGATTGTCGGTCTTACCACGTCCGGGCTAGACAGTCCGGAGGAGAGCGCATTATACGCGCGGTTAGACCAGACTGTGCTCTAATTCAGCCTTACTATTATCTAGCACCTAGTCCCGCGTCGAAAGTTCGATTCGGTCCTTGTCTCTTATGCCACGGTACGGTTCTGGAGCCCTACCTAAGGGGCGTGGTACGCGCTCGGGAACTATACGTCTATTCTTTCGTAATTAATCTATGACTGCCAAATAGTGATCCTCACGTCTATGTTAGCAGAGACCGTTAAAGGTAGAGATACGGAGATAAGTGCTATAATTATTGCAATCCGAGACGAATGGTTATTAAACGATACTAACGGTCCTTTGTCAGAGCTACTCGAGAACCGACTCCTTAGGTTCCGTATTAGCTAGACGGAGGTACCTCCTACACAGATCCGCTAGCACGCCGATAGGCAGACTCTGGTCTGGTCGGACGTAATCTTTTACCTCTCTGATATCCGCGAGATCATCTTTCAGCGGATTACAGAGGCTCGGCGGATGCTAGAGATCGAGCTATGCCTCAGTGGGCGTTCTAACCTAGTATCAGAGATTCCCCCTATCGCGTATAATGGGCTTATCGATAACTGGGATGCTACCGCGGCTGGCTAATTCTTTCTGATAGATTCGCGAAACGCGTACTATCTGGATCCGGTGAAGGACTGGTTGATCACTCGGGTCGGCCATATACCTACCCTTTTCCGCACCTTCTGGTCCCAGAACGCTAAGGGCCGTTAGGTCGTGTCCGCCGATACGGCCTAGCAGTATGAGGATGCCGTCTAGCGGTTTCTCCGAGTTATGATGATCCCTTTCTTTCTCGGATCTGGGCAGCACGGACGTCGTACCGAGTTTATTGGCCTACGGTGGCGGAATATAACGTTAACCACGCGTGATCTCTTCCTTCACGACGGGTAGATACTATTTATTCTCAGCTATTATAAGTCGCGGTATCAGAGTAACGCCTCTCGATAGCCTATCCGGTTCCTGCTTCCTGAGGTCGCGTAGCTCATCACGTAGTATCTTGCTATTGTGAACCCTTTTTAAGAGTTCCTCCAGCGGGAGACTAGGGGACCGAAGCCATCCGACTACCTCTAGTCCTAGGGCACTAACCTATGGCCCGCTGATACTATGACCCGGGTGATTGTTAAGGCCGGTAAGCTAATTCTCGGAAAGTATATTCATATCTAGGCGTAGCGGCAGATCACGGTTAGTATTGCCCGGCGGAAATTTGCCGACGTGGATGCTAAAGTGTTAATTAAAGAAGCGGCGGCGGGAGAAGATAGCGAGGAGACCGATACGGTTCAGGGGAGCATATCCGATACGCTTCACTGGCAGGCTAGCCATACACCTCGTACGAGGAATTGGGTCTACGGTGGAACTGTGAACTTCCGTGGTAGGCTTACCGATACTAGGCTATAAGAATTCTGGCATATCAGTTAACTCTGGCATTGGTTCGTCCGTGATCCTCTCCATTTCCAGTCTGCTCCTATCACGCCGTAGCGCCCCTAGCCCACGATAGCGTGAGAATAGGATAAAGCCAAAGGGCTATGGAGTGAACGTAGTCAGGTTAGCAGTGGACCTCGCGGGGCGAGTCAAACTATCGGAGGTACATTTACCACGCCGTCTAAGAGAGCGCGGGACGTCGACGGGGAGTCCCCCATTACGCAGCGGGTCGCACGACGGAAGGCTCCAGCCCGGAATCGACGACGATAGCGAATAGAGGAGGCCTAGGAGATTCTTTAGCGGATGTACGGTGCAGACGCCGCATACCGCTCGCCCGGGTAGTAACAAGCGATAGAATATATATTAGCCGGTGCTAGGCAGGTTCTGGCGATTTTGCGCACCAGTGAGGGCAAAAGTTTGTTGTACCTTCTTCCTTGCTAGTTACCGGGGGCTAGTACCACTATCCTCGTTCTGCCGCTCGTGGTATTGAAGACAGAGATCTAACGGCGGTGCGCGGAGGCCGGGATCGAGGCTTATATCTAGGGTCCGGACTCAGTCCCCGATCGACTGCACTTATATCCTCTAGTGGTTGTCTTGGTTAAGTAGGTAGTTAAGCCACGGTTTCGAGAGTTCCTTCACCGGTTATATATCGCTAATAAGCTAGACCGGGTGGTTTTCGATGAGTGCTATATAATCCTTACCGCCGTTAAATACCGGCCCGCGATAGCCTTACTCCCAATGCTCCGGGAGCTCGCGTGTTAGATGGTATTCCTTACCGGAACGATGCCCCCTAGCAAGGTGCAGGCGTTTAAAGAGACTATATTGCTTCGCGGAGCACGTATAGTGCGGGGTCTAACGATATAGCGAGATATTAATTACTATGTTAATCTCTGCCCCCCGAACTATAAGCTAGTCCGAGACTTTACCGTGCCTAGGATCTAGGAGGTGATCCGGGGTCTTAAGAGCGGAGGACGTATTATCATCTACTACTACACTAAGGATTTGGCTGACAAGGTCGGGTAGTTACTATAGGCGCCGGTGTATCACTCTATCTCTGGTAGCATAGAGGAAAAAGTGGCGGTTCTTTAGCGGTGGCGGGATGGAGAGCCGCTATATATCGTAACTACGTCTGCCTTTGGGATAGGCATTGATTATCCGTGTATACGGTGGGTGATCTATATTAGGGTTCCGTGGACGCTGATCGACTTTACGTAAGAGGTCGGCCGGGCTAGACGGGATGGACGAGGCGGACGGTCGATTGTGCTAGTGTAGGCTAGCTAGAAGCCGCGAAGCGAGATACGGACTGGTTAGCGGCTTGAGGATAGCGATCGGGCACTCAATCGATATATCGGAGCTATAAGGTGTCGGGCTTACGAACTATCATAGTATCTGGATGACTTAGGAGCGGTATATGGGCCCGAGGCACTTCTCTATGATAACTGCTATCAGGCCAGGTTTCTGTGCCTCTCTCCGAATCGAACGGACGTCGAGGGTTAGGGCGGAGAGGAGGAGGATATCTAGGATCTTAAGTACGGGCGAGATATGCTACAGGGCCAGATACAGTAGCAGGCCTAGGGGCTTATAGACTACTAGAAAGGGCTCGAGCTCTGGCGTGGCGTGTGTATGATCTATTACTATCTACCGCGGGTTGCCTCTGGGTAGGAGGGCCATACCCGATATAGGCTAGATAGGTGTGGGAACGAGCGGCGGTATAAGTACTTTGATGCGAAGAAACGGGCGAATCGGGTAGGTTAGGCGGGCGGGGGATGGTTTGCGGGATATAGCAGTTGCTACCGGTGTTTCCAGCCATAGGTAATCTATAATCAGCGGTGGAAAGGCGGATACCTGTTCCCTAATATGGTCCTCCCGTTATGTTGGGCGATATTTTAAAAGCGCGGGTGGGCGGAAGACTTCCTAGATGGACTTAGAGGTAGTGACGTGAAAGGGGATAAGGTAAGATATATGCTCTAGCTTAGAGGTACCCGGCGTATATTTAGGGAACGGGGCTCTAATGCGGTTACAGTAGTAGAGTCCGTCCTATCTAATAGGCATAAGTATGCATTCGCATACCACCTTCACCCTTACTAACTTAGCTTGATTTTGATACGGCTGAATAGAGAATTGTTTGGGCTATATGAAAGTATTTTCAGAATCCTTCTGCGCCTAGTATTCGTGGAGTTATTCGCGGTTGGAATTCACTGGATGTGGGTGGGTCCTCTTTCCCAATCTGTCAAAACCGTCACATAAGGTTAGGTTATTACTAAGCCCACCCCAACTCCCCCAGCACGAACCTGAGCGACGCACGCCGATTCTTCCACATCCCCTTGTGCTCATGATTCCTGCTTTCGGCCTTGTCAAGAGCAAGACCTTGAAAATTGAATACTGCAATCTTGACCCACTCTGTAGGGTAGGGACAGGTTTACTGCAACAGGTTATAAGCGACGAGTGATGAGCGACGAGTGATAAGCGACGAGTGATGAGCGACGAGTGATAAGCGACGAGTGAAAAGCGACCAGTGAAAAGCGACCAGTGATAAGTGACTAGTGAAAAGCGACACCTAATAAACAACAGCCTTTAGGCTACCTATGATGGGCGGGCTTGGGCAAGACCTATATGGGCAGCCCGTGGACTGTTGGGTATGAGTTTTGGGCTTTTCACACCCGCCCAAGTAGACCTGTATATATTTGCCGGCCCATGGGTTTTCTTGGCGGCCTGTTTCGAGAACTAGATCGTGAAGTACTGACGCCTGAGTAAATTGATGATTCTTCTTGTCCCCATCGTCAACCAGTGCCTGATCCTACTATTTCTCTTGATTCGCGTCTCGTCTGGGAAATATCAACAGACTAAATCCAATTTATAGCTATCTGCTGCTATGATTTCCCCTTCGCATTCAGTAAACCCAGCTTCACAGACATCATGATCATCCACCCTATTGGCGTCTTTGTTGAGGCCAGCATCTTATGCTCAACCCAATCATGCAGCCATTCCCAATAGGACCGCACCGTCGAATAATCCTTCATCCCCGGCAATTCCACCACATCTTCCATTACCGCTCGCGCAGTCGCTCTGGCGGAGATCCCTCGCAAGATCTCCTTTGCATCCGACCCTAACAGCAGGGTATAGTGCAGCACGAGACCCTGCGCGATCCGATGTACTTGACAGACGATGCTGTGGTAGAGCTGTGGCTTCAGCCACCCATCGCAATTGTAGCTCAGTGCGCCTAAGACGCAGACTAACGCGCATTCATACGGGGACTCGTGGTAGCCCTAGTCCCGCAATTCGATGCAGATCTGTAGATATACGAGCTGCAACGGACTCACACCGGGGGTGGCCGCCTGCCGCGGCGTCTTCGTGCGATGAGGACCGTTGATTTCCTCCCGAGCGGCCTGGCGCAACCGATCCCACGCCGCCTGCTGTTGCGTCGTAAATTTGTAGCAGCGATGCTGCCGGTCCTCGGGAACCTAGACCGCCTGGTTAGCTATGACCCAGCCCATCCACTAGCCGCTGCTCGACGCCTCGGTAAGCGCTATTTCGCGCGACGTACCTAGGTTCGTGCAATACACATCAATACTTATAGCTATGGCTTCGTGAAGAACTCGCGATCGTCCTTATTCGGGAACTGAAACAGAACGGGGCGGGATTTCGGTTGTTTCTCGATCTATGCTAACTCGCTCTGATAGCAGTCCTCACTGTGCTTCGCGAGCCGCTTATTAATCTCCACGAGGGTTCCAAAGGCATCCCAGATCCGATGTATGATCTCCTCGTTGGCCGCGCCACCCTTCTATGAGGGATCCGCCAGGCACACTACCAAGGCAGGGTCCTCTCCTTGCAGAAGCCGGCCTAGCCCGGCGCGGTGGGCCGACCCTGACCCCGGATCTTGAATCCGCCACTTTGCTTCATTCCGCCAGAATTCGTCTATCTCCTCAGGATCATCATGGAGTCCGACTCCGAAGTCATCTAATATATCGACATCATCCTCATCGGGGGTCTGCCTAGCTTAGAGCCGTTCCTTAATCCGGCGCTGCGCCGCTATCGGGCCACCGGGATTCATAGTTTGATAGGCTAGTGTCGCCATTCAGTTGAGCAGAGTTGGGGGTTGTAATCCGGAGGACAGCTGCGAAAAAACTAGACTTACGCAAAGCCCAATTTGGGCCGAAGATCTTGGCCCAAAGCCCAGGGATCAAAAATATATAACCCAAGTTTTTACATAACAGTACATAAATATGCCAAGACCTTCCTAATTAGGCTTACTTATATATTCTTATACATAGATTTGGGCTTTACTTGGGCCCTTGGGCTCTTGGCAATGCCAAGTTTGGGCTAAAACTTGGGCTTTGCGGAAGTCTAATCATATACACGTCTACTTAAGGAGACTACGGTAAGTCGGACTGGAGCCATCCATAGGATGGCTTTATCACTATGCCAATTATGCTATTCCTGTCACTCTTGGTGCTGACAAGTAATGGGAGGGAGGATTTTGGGAAACAAGGGAAGCTTAGATAAAATTCAATCGTATATCATCACTATGTTGAATGGTGATGATATGTTTAAGAAATGTCTGACAATTGAGTCTAGTCAAGCAATAGCTTATTTTCTAGGTTCTAGAAAAGTGTCTTGTCCAAGTCAATTGCTGACCCTGTGACTTGCTAGCTTAACGCCACATCTTATGAGGTTTCTAAGATTAAACCTGCACAGTCAAGCAGTTCAGAAGACCCTATACGAAGTCAGCTTTTTGTTGTCAAAGTCAAGGTCAGACGACTAACGACTCCATTGGTTTCACAGCATGCTGCCTGGTTATTGCAAGTATCAATCAGGGCTGTGTCGTATTAGTAGTGTCCAGAAATAGTGGAGGTCGAAGACTTACGAACACATAGCGCAGGCAGAATGTTGATGTTCAAAATGCCCTTTGTGAGCTCGGTGCAGCATTTATTGGCCTGGCTGGTGGTGCACTGGGATCCGCTTCCGCTATTTGGGATTGCACTGACTGCCCCAATGGTGGCGAAAAGCGCAATGGTAGAGAAGACATGCATTGTGAATTCTTGTGTAAAGCTTTTCTTGCGGGAAAATGTCCGATGTAGATGTGAATACAAAGCTCGGTGTGAGTCTAAGAAATTAAAACGATGGAAAATGGTCTTCTTAAATAGTTTCGAACATCTCAGAAGGTGTTTACACATATAATCCGGCTGGTCTCTATGTTGACCTACTCGGCCCAAATTTCCTTAACTGAATGGTAACCGCCTTAATGTGAAGCTCCGCTTACCATGAACATGGTCTTACTGGCTTGAGCTAGAATCAAAACAGGGAAGCAAGTTGTCGATGAGCTTGGGCCTGGGCCTAGTATACCCTTGCCGTCGGGGATCTTGATCGTGATTCTACGATCATAGGAGGTCAGTATCCGGAGCATACTGTTAGTGAATCTAAGCGACTGGACAATAATGGCCCCTTAAAGCCAGGAAGCTCATCTTGGAGATGCTAAAATCTCACCTCATACCTATGGAGTTAGACTCTTGTGAAACATTCGGCTATGACGAAGGCTGATCTAGTTTCAGTTCTCGGTTTTATGAAGATAAAGTTTAGTATTCCTTGTTTTATTTCTGCGGGCGTTATAGCAATAATTCGGTGGCGAGTCCGGTGACATTATGATGGCAATTCTTATGCATACGCCAACGGCTGACAATGAAACAATCGGAGCAGTCATTTATTGTGACATCAGTGAATTTATATGATTTACTATCAGCCACGTTGGTAATACCCCAAGAGATAATGGAGAAAATGCCTTTATTTTATTTTACTAAGATGCAAGAGCTCAATTGTGCAAAATTAGTACGATCAGCTTCATCAGTATCTTGAGAAACTCTAGATAGCACACTCTTGGCGTTGCATATACCTTGTCATGATTCAGATCCTGCAAGATTCTTAGGTCGTAAGAGCTAACTCACATGTACTACGCTGGTTACTGCAGAGAAATGATACAGCAATCAGAATGTTAGGTGGCGTATTTGTATTCAAAAGAGATCTAGCGGGGCCTGCAGGTGCGGGGATATCCGAAGGGTTCAAAAGGGCTATGTGCGGGGCACTACTAGCCTTGGCGGCAATGAAACCATGCTCAGAGTGTTTAATCCTACCGCCCAGCCACAATTAACAATGCTTAAGATTTCTTGCTCGCAGTCTGTGTAGTCAAGCATACTTAAGCATTCAATACGGCAAAGGCTCGACTGAGCGCTCTGTAGCATTCGTATCAGAGTGGGGTCTAAGACCGGGTTCGAGCCTAGTCACGCCCACTGCGACCTGATCTGCGCATGTCCAGGCCCTGATTGAAACACCCCGCTATCACACTGCATCAAGAAAGGACTTTTGTTTTCTATTTGAAGTTATCATATGTGATGTGACCGTGGCCCTTCACTCAGCCACTCTGATTGGAGGAACTTTCTTTGGCCCGTGGAAAAAGTGGAACCCTGGCCTTGGTCATGCTAATAATGTCAATACGAATACTGCGGTGGACCGGAGATATAATTATCCTTTCTGTTTATTACTTCTGTATGTAATCTATAATCCCCCTATAAATTGCCAGAATCAGGGGTAATACAGAAACAGAGCTTTTGATACCGTTGATTGGTTGCATATAAAACATTCCGACATGGTCGTAGTGCCTGAGGCATCACTGGTGTCCCTGGGACCACAAAATGTATTTCTAAAAGTCACGTGTGCGGCAGTTTCCCCTTGCTCTCACTTACGTTCGTTCGTTTTAGGGCCACAGCGTGCGCAGCGCGTCACTTCCAGTGCGTCAAGTCAACTAAACTATCTTCTCGCGCTAGGCAGACGCGTCGACCGCGAAAAACGGCCAACTAACTCACCCTTGCGCGCAAATGGTCAAGAATGATGTTGCCCAAAGATCCATTCCTTGCTCCGAGAAGTCTTTAATACTTCATCTTCATTCTAAACCTTTGCAATCAGTCAGGACTGCCACGAATAATCCTGACTGTCGTGACATGAGGCTGGTACATGCCGGGAACAAAGCCGCACCATCGGAAATAGCTCCGATATGTCTACACAGACAACTAAGCTGATTAGAAATCAACTTGGTTTCTTGTTGTATATTTAGCCTCATTTTTCCGTCTAGAATACAATACAATTCAATCCTCTGAGCAACAACACTGACAAATAGGGGGCCACTAACATGCAAAAAAGGACCACCCAGTATATGTGATCGCAGTAATTGATATTGCTTGTCCAATCCTTGTGAGCGACGGAGGTGCCCGCATACTTGACTTGAACTACTGGGGCAGCAGGATGTGTCGTGATTTAGTCCGAATTCCCCTAATAACGTTCGTTGCCAGGTGCATTGGTGTGAAATTATATATTGTGAAACGGCCGGGTGGACATGATGGACCGAAACCACAGCAACGTACTGCTGGCATTGCTTTTGGCGAAATAACGTCTGTAAGTATGCCAGGTGTGATGGTATGGCCCCTTAGAACAGAACCTGCCACATGCGCGTCGCGTACCCATCCAGTCACGTGACTAAACCCATTTGATCTCTCACGGGCCTCTGGTGTTTCGGAGCCCTTACACTCTGGACAATTTGCGCCCACGCCACGGTACCATGGGCGACCAAGCCGATGACCTACATATCGCACTTGACCCCGGTACGACCACCTGGACGGTGTGCTGACGGCCGACAAAGGAATCAACCAGGGCGGACTGATGGTCAACCGTGCGTTCCAAACGTGGTTATACGAGTCTTTCTCCAATAATGGGCTTCTGACCGCCCCTCGCTCCTGGGCAACAATTTCGTCCGAGTTCGAAGGCTGTAAGCGGGTGTTCAATGGCTTGGCCCCAGTCCACTTGGATGTGTTTGGTGAAAAAATTCCTATCAGCGTGTGAGTACTTCTTTTCATCGGATTCAGCATTGCGAACGAGTGCGCATAAAGAACCTTGAGTTCCCCTCGCGTCCGGGGACTTTGGCGGCCGCGGCTGAGCCTGCAGGTGTCTATGGCGAGCACTCACTGATCCGAGCAACTTGAATAGTGAAATCATGACTAGCTTTTTCCGGGAGCTGATGGAGGGTATCCTGAGCGTCTTCTGGAGGCAATATGCCGCCGCCCAAAACCAAGGCTATGTACCGGAGGTGTTCTTCCTCTGTGGTGGACCAGCCCGAAACAGGTGGTTTGCTAAGTGTATCTTCGACGAGATACAGAAACGGGAGCCCGGGATGACATGTGCGTCTGAGACGCAGTGAGTACCCGACTTTGTCTCGCAACCCGTTCCGATTTCTGATCAGATTTGGCTTTAGTGTGGGCACTGTGGCCCAAGGGGCGCTCTCCTTTGCGCAAAATCCATTCATAGAAACTAGCGTTGCCGGTGAGGATGTTGGCATGACATTCTTAATGGACCTGTCTGTGCCGGGCGACGAGTGGAGCGAAGATCGCGTAGAAGAGGCTATAGGTTGGGTAATTGAAAAGGTACAGTGCCCTCGTGACACGTCGACTGATAACTGAGCGCGGTGCTGATTGCCGCAGGGCCAACCGGCTGGTAAAGGGAGTCGCGTCGAATTAATAAAAAGGGTGTATCGCGACCGGCCGGGCCGACCCAACCGGATTATCTCATCCGATTTGTACACCAGCACTGAGCAATTCGACCGTCAGAAGATCCGGTCGGATCATGATGTCGATTGGGATTGTCGTATCACCTACCCGCTGGACGGCGTCCGCTCCCACCTGGTGTATTTCGGCAGCATCGAAGCCGACATTCCGCACGCAGAATTGTTCCCGCCGGATACTGCGCATCGCGATGTCGAGGCGCATTTCAATTTTTCTATCAAGCCTCAAGGGCAGCTGCTGAAAGTGGAAGTCTCGCTCCAGCGCGAGGAAGACTCGGTGCTGCTTCGTCGATCCTATGTGCCGGCGGCCAGCTGGACCCCTCAGTCTGAACTCACCTTGGAGCAGGGCCGTCACAGTGATCCGTTAGCTTTCTTCCCACCCGGCCGCGCTAAGCGGCGGCGGCGGGGTACCAGGGGAACACGCTTGCTTCCCATAGCGGAGGTTAGAAATTGCGGGGACTCTCCCGTGCCAGAAAGACAGGTCATGAGATCTCCGCGACTCGCGTCGTCCTCTACTTCAGATGTGCCCGCTTTGACGACTCCTTCCGTCGCAGCTGAAATGGAGTCTCCGTCAGCCAGAGTCGATCACCGTTCAGCTGAGCATGACACTTGCTCGAAAAGTAGTTCCCTACCAGGGCGTCCCAAAATTGTCGGTCGCAGCCTTGTCCCCAAGAAAAGGTCTTTTCTACTTTCGCCTTTTTTGGGGTCAGCCCACATCGTGGGGGAAAATGCCGATCCACATGCACCCTTTGACGTGCGGAAGGACACTCACCTCGAGCTTGCCGAGTCTGAGATGCTTGAATCAAGACACATGCGAGGCATCAAGACACGTGCGAGGCGTAAGGTGACTGTACTACCAAGACATACGAAAGCGTCCTAGAGGCCTCAAACCGCAAACACGATACTAAATCCCATTTTCTTACTTAGATTTGGCACACGCACTTTTGTAAATTCGTGTCTACAAGGGTAAAAAAAAAGATCTTAATCAATTTCGAGTATTATGCGCTATCAGATCTTGCCTGCGAGCCTCAATCAAGACAACGATGTCGATATTGCTTGATTATTGTATTTCGCAGGATTCAAGCTATAGAAGATGGTGCGTGCTTAGGCGTTCTTCTGTCCTAGCTGCGCAGCCGCGACGAGGTTCCCGAGCTCCTGCGTCTGTATAGCGAGAGTCGATACGAGAGGGCTACTAATATACAAAGCTTCAGCCGGCTGGTGGGCCACGAGAATAACAATTCGGTCAAGGGTACTAGCGTGGATGAGTGGAAAGGTAATCTATATTTTCCGGTACTTCAACTGGGCTAATATTCTTTTGTTGTTGTCACTGTAGTATCTGGGTATCTGGAATACGGATTCAGCCACGATGAGATACACGCATCAAATCAGCGGCTTCGCGAGCACCACTGGCGGCAAAGGGCACGCTGTTACTGGCGTCAGCCAATTGTTTTCGGACCACTCTCCAGACCACGGCAGGATCTGTTGCACTACCCTCGACCATAACATCCCTCGGGTGTCGTATGCCGTGGCTGTCAATGACATTGATCCTGCAACTAGACAGATCCCTATTGGTGTGATGGCGGTCAGTAATCTCGTTGATGCCGGGTTGCAGACAGCTGAAGCTACGATTCACTAGAAGTGGTAACGTGGATGGCTTTCGCTATATCCCTACGGTATTGCCAGGAAGGTTAGTCTGAATATTCTCCCACAGGGATCATGTCCAGGGAACCGCATAAATCGTGATATATGACAATAAGTCATCGTCAAGACCATTTTATACCTATACTTTCGCATTTGAGCACAAATTAAAAGAAAACGTTCATCTTCAGCCCCACCAGCCCCCGAAGAGCGACGCCTTTCTTCGATGCTTGCACATCACTTTTGTGATAATTTTCCTCTTCTCCTAGTGTTGTAATTAGTCTTTCCTGGCTGTTGCAAATGGCTTTTTCGACATCTCCCGGGGATCATGCGTCAAGGAGCTCGGTTATTTCAATCGTCTCCGCTGGTAATTATCTAGATAAATCAAGTTTCTTCACTGGAGTCGAAATTGGAGTGTCACTCAGTAGGATGAATAATTCGCTAGAAGGTACCCAACAATCAACCTGTCACTACCGCACGCTCCATCAGGTGTACATATCGTCCGAGAGCCATCATAGGGAAGTAATGGGAGTAAAACGAATATCCCAAATAGAAATGGTTTGGGAATCCAGTCCCAGTATGCAAGGTCTCGGGCCAAAAGACCTCGCTTTCATTATTGGCCCTGGTTTGCGTTTGCAACAAATAACTGACCCCATCTTGAATTGCCTTGTCCGTGGCCGATAAAGATGCAAGTAGCCCCATGAGTGCCCACGCTGTCTGGGAAGCCGTGGAAGGACCGCGGCCTGCAAGGTGTGGATGCTTGTACGATGCAAGCGTTTCCCCCCAGCCACCATTAGGATTTTGCATAGACTTTATCCAGGAGACTGCGGAATCCATGCAATCTTTAATGGAATCATCACCCTCAGCCGTAACAGTACATCCATCAGAGAAGTACGTCATTCCACAGAGCACGTTGCTTGTTCCGTAAATATAATTGGACCCCCAACGACCATACCATGCCCCTGAAGTCTCTTGCTGATGGGTCAGATAAGTAAGGGCACGGCAGCAGGCAACATTTATTCGGTCGATGAGTAGATAGTCTTTGCCATCACTGGAGAGTTTGATAATCAGGCCAAATGCTTCCAAGACCCGGCCGGTGACGTCCGTAGTTGAAGGGTCACACAGACTTTCCATATCGCTGAACGGGATCTTGTTGAGGAAAAGCTTGTCGTTGTTGACGTCGAATGCACCCCACCCACCGTCATGATTCTGCATACCAATAATCCACATCGCAGCTTTCGTTACAGGCAAGGTGCTTCTTGATTGGGGATTCTGTTTAACCATCGAGAGAATAGCAGCGGCGGTGTCATCCACGTCTGGATACCATTTGTTGAAGTACTCAAAGCTGAAGCCCCCTGGTGGCAGGTTTGGTTTGTATATTCGCCAGTCGCCCTCTGGTCCCAGAAGCTGACGGCTGGCGATCCAATCTATCCCAGTTGATAGGTGGGAGGCGTAACCGGCATCGCAAAGCCCAATTGTCATCAGAATGGTATCCCATACTGGGGACAAGCATGCTTGGATTCTTTTCTTTCCCCCCTGGCGCCAAGCAAATCGCTCAATTGCCTCTAGTGCTGCCCGCACCGGCGGATCGTCAAGCTGATACCCCTCGAGCCGCAAAGCGAGAACGCCGACATGCATGGGGGGAAATATTCCTGCCCAATCCCCCTCCGCTTCCTGGTGCTCTAGGATCCAATCAATACACCTCTTCCGGGCATATGCACGAGTAGGAGATAACCGCAGGCCACCGATCCAGTGAAGAGCGGTGTCGACTGCGGTAAATATGAAGGCTACAACGTCTGTTTTCCACAGGTCCCATAATGGCGGTGAATATGGAACCGCTTTGTTTGCAGCGTCGTGCCAAAGTTCGTCCAGGAAATCGTTCGATGCTGACTTTCCATTGGGAAGGGAGTAAATTGGCCGGTGATGGGCCACTACCAGCAACGGGACGATTGTACTGCGAGCCCATGAAGACAGCCGGTAGATACCAATGGGTGATATCGTGGGCAACAAAATAAGTTCCGCCGGAAGCTCAGGTACAGCTTTCCATGGGAAAAGACCAAAAGTGGCCAAGTAAATACGGGTAAAGATGCGGACTTTGGCAGCCCCACCGGTAGATAGGATGTGTTTGCGGGCGCGGCGTAAGGGGACTCTGTTTGGCTGGACTCCCAATAACTTCAGTGCAAAGTATGCTTCAGTGGTTGTTGAAACGTCTCCAGGATGATCTGGCGCAATGCCCCACGACCCATCCTCATTCTGGTCCGATAATAACCATGCGACCAGCTCATCCCGATCGTGGGACATGTCCAACCCAAGAGCCTGTCGTAACATCACATATTCAGCGGTGATAGTGGCATTGGATTTGAGCTCACCATACCAGTGACCGTCCTCGTGTCTGCGGTTAAATGAATAGCTAGCCGCTAATTGAAGTGAAAAGCGCGCTTGATCGACGAGGTGCTCATTACCATCGTAAGAAGCAATAGACAAGGAAGCAGCCTCCCATATATGCTTTTTCTCCGTGGCAATATGTGTTTGCACAGCCATTTTGGCGGCTAATTTTAAAATGAACAGTAGGAGCCTTGGTGATCCTATGAAGAACAAATTCAATTCCTAAGAGCGGCCATGGGACATCTAAAGGTTCAACGATAGGTGGAACGGAAGTGGCCAACAGTGAATAGTTTATGCTAGATTTTGAATTTCCGGGAAATTGAATCACAGTGTCATGGACTCATGTTCATTTCTAGCTACTTCAACACTTCTCCCTCATATATAAGCCGCCAGGACATAATAAGCTCACGTTAGGCTTCTGCCAAGTTTCGGCTGAAGTAACGCTACGATCCAACGTGGAGACGACGCGTTACCCAGACCAAAAGCCATAAACAGCTATCAAGGAGGCCATGTACGTATTCCGCACTAGCTCTCAGCCGTTGTTGCCTCCGAAACCTGTGACTGTCTCGGTGACTGAATCGTGATCAAGCCTTGCTTGGCACATTTCTAAGAACAAAAGTACCATACCAGACTTCATAACAGAGTATTTGTAGCGTGGTCTTAGGCTCATTAATCATAGATAATTCGGGAGTTAACAAGGCCGGTATTTAGCTTTCGCGAGACGCAACTTTCGGAGAGCATATCGACCCATCCGGTCAATGAAAGCTGCAAGCGTCCGACAAATGAACCGGCGATGACTACCACACTTTCTTTATAATAGCATCATTGTTGCTAGATAATGGTAAGGATGCAACATTCACCTCCTTGAGAAAGTTGCTGGCGACTTGTGTTCCTGTGCAGGAAGAATTATGACCGAGTTCTGACTGCCCCTTGTCCGCGTAATTCTGGTGAATCAGTGGGCTACACAAGGAAGGCGGGCCAATTAAAATTCAGAAATCCACCTGGCACTCGTCATCTTGGACTTAGGAGTAGCGCGATACAACCCAGCGGCATAACTGTGCCAGGTTTTAAATCAAAGGGGCATGAGAGCTCCGTATTATCTCAAATCTGGACAAAAGAGAAATTCACGACGGAAAGACACTTCCTCAAGGGTGGTCCCATGATTTCTCCATTCTTTGAAGTCGAGCTCCTCAGCCTTTTTGATACAATGCTCAACTTTGCATGCTCCATCATAGCCCCTGCAGGGGCTTGCGTCACAGCATTGTTAGCAGCAACTTTGGTCAGTATTCTTCTTCGATCATGGATAACCCCTCAACAACTTCCGTTGTTCAATAATTGGGCTGGGTTTCGTAACGAGACTTTCGGAGGTGTCCGAGCCTGCTTTCGAGAGAGCAGAGCAGGTCTGGAGACCATGGCCTCAGGCTATAGACAGGTTCGATTCCCTACGGTTATCTTCTCTGCCTGGGCGCGAAACGCCATACTCATTTCTGTACCAGTTTTCAAAGAAAGGGCAGCCCTTCATTATGCCTACCCCAAGCTTTGAGCCGCACATAATGCTGCCCAGAGACTGGATCAAATGGCTAGTTGATCAACCGGAGAACATTCTCTCTCATGGAAAGGTCCATGGCGAGAAGCTAGGGCTACGTTACCTGTTCCCGGGGTTTGATTACACTGCTGATATGGCGCTTATCACCGCGATCCGTCTTCACCTTACTCGCAACCTATCCAAAGTGCAAGGGGATTTAGTCAACGAGATCAAAAACACGACCGATGCTACATTTGGAGTTGATGAGCAGACTTGGACAGAGGTCAATCTCCTTGAAGCCATGAATACGATTGTGTTGAAATCTAGTGGTATTGTCTTGTTTGGCCAGTCTCTTTGCCACAATGAAAAATTCATGCGATCGATGAAGAAATTTGGGGATGTTTTTGGCGCAGGGATGCTTATTGTTGGCCAGCTTATCCCTTCCATATTCCGCAGGATGGTCGGCTGCCTATTTCTTATCCCGATAGCGTACTATCGGACTTCGTGTACAAGGTACCTTTGGCCGGTATTCGCTGAGCGATTGGAAAGTATGAAGCGGGGTGAAATGGATCCCGCGTTTAATTACGACGCACCTAAGGACCTCATTACTTGGACAATTCGTGCTGCCCTAGATATGAAGGACAAGGCCATTGAAGGTCCTGGACCAGTTTTAAAGCGCTTTACACTTGTGGTATTTTCTTCCAACCATCGTCACAACCTCATCGACCAGCTGGCTAACAGACCTGACCCAAAGACGTCAGGAGCTATCTCTTCCTCATCTGTAACGGCCGCAAACACGTTACTCGACATCCTGAGCTCTGATCCAAGCCTCCACTACTACCAAACCCTCCGAGTTGAAGCTGAATCAGTTTTCCCAACGGCGGAAGATTGGGTGCTATCGGCAGGCCTGCTCAAATTGCGTCATATGGACAGTGCCATCCGTGAAAGCCTAAGAAGGAGCCCCATACTTGTGCGAGGTCTTTGGAGAGAGGTGATGCCGATAAATGGAGTAACACTTCCAGACGGCCAACACCTCCGACAGGGCGCTTGGATCGGCGTACCGGTTCCGGGAATTCATAATGATGAAAGGTTTCACGATCAACCAGAAGTCTATGATCCCTTCCGTTTCGTGTCTAGCTCTCTCAAAGGGGAAGTGGCCGATGCCGAAAATTGCAAGGCAACCATGCTGACGATGACCAATGATACTTTCCTTCCGTTTGGATATGCGCGCCATTCTTGGTAAGTTCCTAAGCTTCTATTGACACTTTTTCTTTACCCTCCGGAGTTAAAAATACCAATCATTCAAGAAAATAGTGACGAAAGCTCAAGTTAATAAACTTCTCTGCAGTCCTGGCCGATGGTTTGCGTCGCACCTTCTCAAACTTGTCTTGGCATATATCGTTGCACATTATGACATCCAACCTCTCTGCGAAAGACCCCTTAATCACATATGGGGCGAGCACCCAGTTCCCCCACCGTGGACTATGATAAGGGTGAAAAGAAGAAAAGTCACTTGAACGGACGCCCATTCGAGAAAGTCCTGTGTTCAATCACACGTGAAAGCACCTGATGTCACACCCAATCTTAGGGAAGAGACTTTCTGGCGTGTTGGTAATACTGCTTTAAGTTTTGAAGTGAAAAAACCTTGTTCGGGGACGATAAACGTCTCACCTAAGATCCCACTAAATACAGTGCCGCTTCCTGGATGGGCCAATTGCTCATAACCATTTGGACGAATTTGAGGATAGGTGACAAAATTGAGGCTGCTGTAGCCAATATGCCATGAAGGTTCGAGGGCAATGTCTGAGAGCTAGTGAGGTACAATTGAAGTCCGAAGTGCTAGTCAAGGAGCGACGCATAAGTATATTTGAACTTAAATGTACTGCTATACTGCAGGAGCGTTACTTGAGATTTGTTGATCTACTTTCGGTAGTTTCCTAAAGAATAGCTGTTAATCCTCCTCGCGCATTTAGGTACTGTTATTCCCACGTGGCTTCGTGAAGCTTGTGTCAGTTCTGATTTTGTGCCACGCTAGGGGTTCCTGGATTATCGTACACCTGTCAAGTTGCCGCTCATTCTCATTTCTCAGCGAGCCACCCGTATGAGTCCCCTCCAATCGAATACTTATTTTTGGAGTTGGGCTGCAGTCAGTCAATCATTGTTTCGCCAATGATGTTGAGCGGCTCCGTCTGGGTGCTCTGAGGCAGATTAGCGCTCGGCCATAAGAAGCCCAATAAGTGTTTCTCTTACCACTATCCATGAACAAAATGCATCTTCTGGGTGACCGCGGTAAAAGCCCTAGTCTGCATGGGCTCTGTGGCCTGGAGGTCTGTTCAAAAAACTTTGGTGAATAACCCATAGTCGGTTCCAATTCCACGGAGTTGCCCCATGATCTGCCCAATGTCGATACTATTGGCACGATGGAGTATAACTGATGCATATGGCACGAACGAGCTGTAAACTGGTAAAGGAATCAATTTGAAATAGTTATCGACAAAGGTCAATTTTAGCATTACTAGTAGGCTCAATACTCGTCAATGTGCCAGGGCATGTGAGACATCAATACAAACAAGCCAGCTTCGCATTTTGACTCGTTTGTCAGGTATTGATCGTCATTTGCTTCTGTTTAATGCGACATTTTACGTAATACGCTTCCCTGGAGCTTTAACTAGTTACTTCTTTTGTGAAATGAGGTCGTGGGAGATTCAAATCATTCTGGCTTATTTGTAGACATAAGTTTAACATAACGTGTGGGACCAATAGTTCCCTTTCCCTATACGCTTTAAGAAAGCAGTATGGAAGCGGGCAGCTTTTCGGGAAGCTGAGGCAGAGAATAAGCTGTTTTGCTTAGCAAGAACTCTCGTAGGTATTATCATATTAGTACTGCAAAGGGCTATAGTGATGACATATTCGAAATCCCCGGCGGCTTAGCAGGAATCATTCGCTGAGAACTCGAAAATACAGGGTATCGTTGCTTTTCTATACAGTAATATGCTCAGAAGAAGCAGAGGTGATCTCGATAGCTTCACCGGTTTTTTGCGGAACTTAGTTACAGCGTGGACAATCACTTAGACGTCGTCAGCACACTGTGGGAGATTAGTGTGGTCAGGGCCAGAAGCGGTAATCTCTTGGGCCCAATTATGCGGCTCCGAAGGAGCTGTTACGAATTGAGGTGACTAACCATGGTGGTCAGGCATTCTAGAGGGGTACGGTATTCTCACGGGATGAACGCAGGCAACAAACAAATTCGCATCCGTCAGACCGGACTCCGGAGTCTAGTTGTCTTTGTAATGCTCATTAACGTCGGTATTGGTGTCGACAGCCAAGAGAGACAAAAAGCTTCCAGTGCAAAGGTTGCCGGAAAGGCCGGCCATAGCGTTATAGCCCTGCTCAAGTTTCCAGCCACATTTGCATGTGATTGAATTTCTTGCGAGAGGAAGTCGCCGTCCTTGTTCCCCACATCGGTTGAGTGGTCATCATTGCCTTGCTTATAGGCATTTGCGTGGAAGTAGTCAGCAGTGGGCGTATCAAAGCTCTGGCCCTCACCAACTCTAGAAGAGCAATCAAGGAGTGTATCAGGATATTCATGGTTCTCGACACACTTTGCAGGCCGTTATCCCGGGTCAACAAAGGAGGAAAATGAAGTCGACCCAGAATGCCAACGGGAATGCAGGAACAAACACCAATGGTAATACTCAAATACCTGGTCCAGGCCCGCAGGCCATGGCACCAAGTGTGGCAGTGTAGTGGCAAAAACATTCTTTCGGATTCTCAAGGATAGAGATTGGCATCCTCACGGGCATTCTCAGCCAATTGAGTCTCTTGGTTGGGTGCTTGTTTTTAACACACGGTATTCTGCCCTATGCATATGTGATGCAGGCCACGGCAAAGAACAAGTAGTAGAGTTATGACGCGCGTTGAATTTTCGAAGGTTTTTTTGCGGTACTTCTTTTACGTTCTGCTGAAATATGAATATGACCTGTTCTAAACTGATTCTTCGTCATCGCTTGAGCTATCTCCGACACAGAGGAACGACAAGCATATCCTATAACAATAAATTCTCTTGAAGTAAAAACAAAATATCAACACTTCAATCTTATAGAGAGAAAACATTGATCTACCTATATCCCCGTCGAGGTTTATCAAATGAATATTTGCAGTTTTATATTTGGCTTACTGCTTCCACCCAAAGGGCCAGCTCGTCCTGGTACGATCCCTCCAGGTGTAATAATCTCCAGTAATCGAGGTCAACGAGACCTGTCAATGGAGGCATTTCGGAAACCTCTGGCATTGTGTCAAAAGGGGATAGCCTCAAGATCACAGACTCTAGATTATCTATCGCTCTCGAGGACACTTAGTCTTGCCAAATAGTGTGGCGTTGTTGCTAAAGTAATGGTGAACTTCATCCAGGGAATATAGAAACTAGACCACTCTGCATTGAGGATGGGCAGAAAAACCTCTTCCTTTCGCACGTTGAAAGGTCAGACAGCCCTTTGTAAGATATTATCAGTCGACACAGCCTCCGCCTTAGATTTTTGTCCAGACTCACAATATTAATAATTTTCTCCGGTATTGGCTTAAAAAATAGCTTCACACATCGGAGCGCGCGATGGATACAACCCATCTCCTTGGCTGCGACAACTTGGCGGTTGCCAAAATGATGATTTTGGGTTACTGTCTAATTTTGCACTGAGACGAGCACAGAAGATGCTGAGAGTTCCATCATCAGAAGTAATTAGACTTGAAGAGAAACGAAGTAGCCTCGGCAGACCAAAAGTACATCTTCCCGAATGAGGAATGTACCAGTGGCCATGGAGGCGTACACAGATTTTGATGTCTATTACACCATACCGCTATCCCTCCTCAAAAGGAGTTTAGAAAGAATGGGAGCAAGGATATGATCGGCGCTTGTAGATTAAGTGCACCCTGGTCTGTAGTATGAGTGAAACATTCGTCACGTGATATCCCTTTGCCCAAAATGAAAGATGGTAATTTGATTTTGGACCCCTTTGATTGAGAAGCCCAAGCGTATAGTTCTGGTGATTTCTTGTACACCCGCAAATTTGCACAATAGATCCCAGAAGTTGGCTCATGAATCCTCGATAGAATTTATGATCACTCTATATTTTAGTCGCAGAAGTTATGCGTGGGATTGTAATTATCATTGTTATTTGTATTAACAGGAAATAAATTTAAATAATGTTATATATATGTAAATTAATCAAGAGTGCAAGGGGTAATGCTAAGCGTATTCCTAAAATGGAATCCCGTCATGAGCCTGGGGATCAGAAGGAGAGATGGAACAGGTTAAGAGAACCAAGTTAAATTAGTTACAAGAAAACTCCAAGAAAAAACCTGTTTGCGAAGTCAAAGTACATAGTGTTTTACAAGCTAAGAGATGATGAGGCGGGTTGCCTCCTTTTTTTCTGTCCAAACAGGAGGGTTGATCGGATGCCACCAGTGGGATTTTAGATGCGAGCAGCCATAAATACAGATCCAATAATCTAAGCGGATAACCAAGCGAGCCCTGCTTGAATGCTTTGAAAACATGACCATATCATTAAGCCTCCAAGAACGGCAATTGGATAATTGTTCCATATTAGTAGCAAGAAAATATGGCGTCTCTCAAGTCTGGATGGCGACTTCGTTTCTCTCATTTTCACGAGGCTGGACTGCGCAAGGTATTCAAGGTAGTGTAGGTTGAGTTTTGCTTTGCCAGTCAGCACATTTGCTGCGAAACTAAATGGATGGGATATCTGAGTACCAATAAAACATGCATTGAAACTCAGCACTACTTAGAGCGTTCCAAACCTTTCAGGCCCTATAGCCGATTCATCTAAGCCTGGCGGTAAATTTGGGAGAGTGGTTGAAATGACAAATCGGCATCTATCTCTCTTTCACAAGGACAGGGACTGTCACTTTAGGAAATATGGTAGTGGTGGAATGTGACTGCAACCTTTCCTAAGCCAAAGTGCTGTTGCGTAAAGTTCTGCAAATGTGGTCTGGAATAAGGGATGATCCGCTTTCATTCCACCATGAGGGCAAGAAGGCGCTGGCATGCTGAGTGCCTCTTCGCCTTTTGACCTACAACGTTGATTATGATGTAAACATACCACCAGCCTTCCAGGTGTATGCTGTTGATCTTATCCGCCTGCGTAAAACCCACCGTTTTCGATAAAATGGAGGGCTTTGCGGCTTGGACTACAATGAATTTACAATACGTGATTTTTACCATGGCAAAATCCTCTCGGACCTTGCAACCCCAGGCCTCAGCTTCTCATGGGAGAAACCCAAATGTTCGATTAGTCCAAGAAATACCTCAGCTTTCTGGCCTGCTTAATGAACCTACTTCGCGAATGACGGATTTTACAGACCATGCCAGGGTGCAGCCAGGCCAGAGGATTGTAAGAGAAATGTTCTCTGCGTTTTTCATAGTTCTAACACTAACTTATACAGTTCGACTCAGCAGCTCCAGATAAAGCTTCATCTTAGAATGAATTTACAACCTCCACAAGGCGGCTAGAGAAGCCCAGAAGGCCCAGCAGCAGTAATGGCCATTATAATTTGAGCTGTGAAACACATGAACACAAGGTAAATATAGCCGTTTCGTACATATCGGGCTAAGCGAAAAGCTGACACTGAACTCCAGACATCAGGGTTTGGTGCGCAGTGCCTATTTCTGTGTGATGGAGACCACAGAGACCGTCCTCTGTCCGAATTCCAACGAGGCAGTGGGTATCCCATGAGTTGTCATGATCAGAGGAGAGCAACTGGCATTAAGGTTCGGTCTTTCACTGAAATGAGGGGAGAATTAGGCTGTCAAAATAGCCAAGGCGGAAATACTTGGCTACGTAGCTGCTCATTCCATCCATGAAGAAGGTTTTACGCCACTAGAGAGGATATCGATATTTGCTCTTCTCCATAGGTTGCATGCTACAGTACCTGTAGTTTGCTTAATTTAAGTGTGAAGGACTGCTATAACTATGTATCGCAATTTTCTCATTAAGCTTGGCCCCGGAGGTGAAGAGGCTCATTTAATGGCCTTAAAATATAAAGTTACCGGAGCGGAGCCTTAAATCTATATCTCAGGGCTAACGGAGAGACTTTCATATTTGAGAAATGAACCATCGTTGCTATATATAAGCTATATATCGCGTTGAGCAATAATATAGTGTCCAAATGTCATAATGTCTATAGTCAATCTGGTACGGCAGAACTTCAATGAGGACCATGACGCATCTGAGTTGGTGCTTCCGCGCCCACAGTCGGTACCGAGAATAAAATGAACTTGCCGGCAGTCAACCCCCTCATGTCATTGAACTTGGTGATAAAAAGCAGCCTGCCTCGATCTTTATACATCTATTCATTGTGCTTTTCCTTTACAAAGTGTGTAGACTCATGTGAAGTAGCAAGGGCCAATGCGGTGATGATCAGCAGGGAGAGGTATAGAGATCTCTTGCTCAGGAATCCTCACATGAAGTCTGCATATGGTCGTAAAATTACCCCCTTCCTAGTAAGTTTGCAACCGCTCTGCATAATTCTCGAACTATAAGACATCCGCAAACTAAAGCGAATCTAATCGAATTCGAGCCTTGGTTTAGGGGCCTCGAATCCATGGCTGATTCGATATATCAAAATTCGCGAATTTCGAAAAGGTCCGTGAACCAAATTAGAGCTAGAAGAAAATCACATTTATGCCCGATGATACGATCACTGACGAAGTATTCAGAGTTCCAACATACCACGTCCTGGTTGTCCCAAGTGTCTTGCCTTTCACGGAGAAAAGCCGATTCCCTAGTACATCTCTCCCGGCTTTGAATAATCTCTCATTGAGTGTAAATGTGTCTAGATAACAGGAGACAGACATTGGAAGCTATATTTGAGATGCGAGGCCGATACTATCAGTTGATCAAGTCGTTCTCTTCGTCATGTCTGACCTTGTAAATTTCGTCCAAAAGTGGAAGCTTTTCAGGAGGGATTTTGCATCGGATCATTTCGTCAGCTTTATTCAGTTTTTGACAGAAATCCCATGGCTGGCCAGGAGACCGTGAACGATAAAGACCAAGAGCTGAATGCGTTCTATTCGTGTAAGTGAACTAGCATATTGGAGGGAACTCCATTTATCAGCCTTGAGAAGATGATCGGACTCCCGATGATGGACTGGCGATGGCCACCATGGGGGCTTGCAAGTCTCCGGGTCAAGCTGTTCTTTTATACCAAAGGCATTCATCCGCCGCCCATTTTAAGGATACTCCCGAAAAATGATTGGCCACGTGAAGGGAAGCCCTCTTTTGACAGCGTTTCTTGTAACAGAAACGAAAACGAAAATACTCGTTTTTCAGAACAAAATCCGGACCTGACGCAAGTTGATCAGAGACGTGGAAGGTGCTGCGACCGCTAAGTGCAAGGCAAAAAGTTGAATTTAGATGTAAAAGAAATCCATGGAACTGCCTAACATATTCTTATATGTAGCCGGTTTCGCTGTTACCGGTAAGATCTAGATGTATGTTACCAAACTCTTCCGGCTGCTATGGGCTTCAAGTATTCTATGTGTTAATCTTACCTTGCCAACCAGTGGTCTTTTAGTTCAAACTTGGACCTCCCGATGGCGACAGCTTTTCCCTCTTGAGTGGACTGTTCTGTTTAAGAGGAATAGAGTGCCATCATTCGTCTCATAAGTCATTAACTTAGATTCTAGGGCGATTTAATATCACTTTCTCATGTTCCACTCAATTGTTATCACTTCAATATAGCAAGAAGGGCCAATCCAGTAGCCCGGTGGCTTGGCGGTTTGGTGTTCATGCCAGGTAGGCCTCGAGATGGACCCGCAAGAACCGCGAACCGCCCCGCCCCGCCCCTCTGAGGGCCGGTTCTTGGTACCTACAGTATAGAACCGCCTCACAGTTCAGGGACGAAAAGAACCGCCCCTCAAGGTTGCGGGTAGAACCTGCGGTCCTACAAACATAACAAACATCGATGATCCTGTGACGTATATATTTTATGTAGAAGAGAGCCGTATTTTTTGGCATCCTACTTTCAGGATTTCGAAAATTAAATATATATTCCCGACCGCATATACCGAAGAAAGTGAATTTTCCACCCTCGCTCATAATAAAAAAACATGTCAAACTTCTTATCTATGTAGGCTAGTAGACTAAATGCCAAATAATCTATAAAGGAGGGCATTTCAATTAATTACATGGTGGACAGGGGCTACCTTGGATGAAAAATATAGATTGGTTAACCGGGGACCAAAACAGCGTTTAATCACTGTAAATAACTTAAAAGGATGAATCAGCAAATTATGCGACCGAAAGAGGAAATCCTTGGCCAAATTATGCAATCGCGGGTCTATGAGGATAACCCGCGACCAGAACCGCGGCGGTTCTGTCGCGGTGCGGTTCTCAAATAAATTGGTTGCGGGTCGATGAGGGGCGGTTCTTGGTTCAAAAAGTTTGGAACCGCCCCGCACCATCTCGAGGCCTAATGCCAGGAATCGTGTTGAACAATATCACTGACTAAGTGGCCAAGTTGATTAAGAACAGTCGATTCTTTGGAACCAACAGAAGGGCATACCGCCAACAGAACATGCTGTATTGAAAGTTGAAAGCTGGATACTGTACGTTTGTTGTCTCTGTTCGCAGTGAATGGGATTCTGCCACTCTTCACCGCATCCCTTGCCTCAGCCTCCATGATAAATCTAGTTCCATAGCTTCCATCTACAAAATCTACATCTCTCTCTTTTCCTCCTTCCTTCTTCATAGGTTATGAGCTCTCTGCTATGTTGAGGCTGTTTAACCATAGTCCAACAATCCTCACCTGTGCTTTCACCTCGCCGTCGCCGACCTCGCCGCCGCGAGTGTCGAGTGAGGGCTTTTGTCAACAAACGACCTCAATTAGAGGCATTCTTTTATCCACTTTCATCCAACTCCTTCATTCAGGCATCTTCATCCGATCCCTCTTGCATCTCTCTGTCGCCACAATGGCTACTGACGACTACGGCAAGATCGCTGACCGCGTGGGCAAGCTCAAGGGCTCCCAAAACTACTCAAACTGGCTGTTCAAGCTCAAGCGAGCACTCAAGTCTCGCAGCGTACGCCACTGGGAGATTCTCATCGGTGAGGATCGTCTTGAACTCACTTCCCATCGTCCTACCCCAAGCGAGCGCACCATGCGTGATCATATCGCTAGGGAAAACAACGAAAGGGTATTGCGTGAGCATCGACGTCGACGACGTACCACACACTTGGGCACGAGCCCTCGCACTCATGACACAGACGGTGATGAACCTGCTACCATACTACCTAATTCTATCCCTGAGGATGAGCTTCTTGAGTTCGTTCGAGTCCATTTTGACGAACCCAACAAGGAACTTGAAGAGTGGGAAGCTCTCATGTACACCGTGCTGGATATCTTCATGTCCTGTCTCGACTATGACCCCATGAAGCATGTCAAACAGACTCAAGACGCATACGAAGCCTTTAGGATCATTGAAAAGCTGTACAACCGTCCCACACAGCAGACCATCGCCACCAAGTGGGCCAAACTCGAGTCCCCCGCCTCCCACCAGTGATGATATGATCGGGCAATTCATGTAGGACCAGCGTCGGCACCCCACACGCACATGTCCCCAGTGGGTCAAGTATTTGGTGGATTTGTTCATGGTTCGTGGCTCAGATGGACCGAGTCAGAAGATAACATCAATCCTCATGAAATCGATGATGGACGAGGGAGTCAAGTCTGCCTGGAATCCCTTCAACAGGTGATTCCCTATCGGTCTGTACATTGACTTGGCAAGGGCCACTCCTTGAGATGCTATTCAAGTTATGTGTGTTATTCATCACTCAGACATTCACAGACGGTCAGCCCCAATCCAGTGTCCTAGTATATTTTAGTGGATATTGTGAAGAGACCAGGTGAACGTAGTCGGCCAAGACCACAGCAAAGTAATTCTGGCACTGCTTGTGGCGTAATCTTGGTGACGGTAAATTGGTAGCAGGAAAAGGCGTCGTTTCCGCAGGTGCCTGTATCGTGACTGTAAAGTGGGGACCTGGGGAGAGTAGCCGTTTCTGGCGCCTTGTCCTGAATCTTTTCTTGCCTGTCGCTGGGGCGCGTTCAGGTACTGGGGTCTGCACATGACATGGGGCTAGCGTGGCCCCCTCTGGTGTTGGTTGGCTCTCGGTGGCCTATCGTTGGTTAAATAGCCCCTTAATTAGTTGGCTGTTGCAGGGGTCGTAACAATATTAAGCAAGAAAGCCCTGGAAATCGTTAGTAATTCTCTAGCAAAAGGTTAGTAAATCTTTTATACTAGCAGATCTTTCCGTTTTGAATTAAGCTTATATACTGCAAGATAAGCTTTTACGTAGGTATCAAAGTATCTTGCTAGATCTAAGCAATATTGTGCTACTACTATTCAAAATTGCTGTTGATAATCATCATTATATTGCCAGAAAATATCAGCCCATTCTAGAATAAGAACAAGATCCTAGGTATCTCTAGTCATAAGAGCCGGAACCTAATTCTAAATTAGTTTCGAATTAACCACTTTTCGGTACAGAAACCTTACTATATCACAGACATCAGAATTATGAAAATAAGGGTTGCATCGTGCACTATTAATATTACTAATAAGGCAATTGACTCTGAAATTTGCGTCATCCCTAGGGTCGAAGCTACTAATCGCCTGGCGTAAGTAATATAAACACCACGCAAATCCCGGTTCTACAAAGAACTCCTAGCGACCAACTGCTTCCGACATTGTAAATTATATTGAAGTGTGTATCGGAGAAGAAATAGTTACGAAATGCTTCCTATTCTTATATTTTCTGGCCAGGATTAGATCAAAGAGCTTTCAAATAAAGAAAGTATAGAAGGACATATAGCAAATTTGCCATGAAAGAGTATTAAAATAATTACGATAAAAACCGCAAAAATTACAATGAAAAGATCTATTATTTTACAATCCCAAAAAGCGAAAGTTGCAATAATTTATGAAATAACTAGGATCTTGGCAGGACCTATGGGGCCTGCCAAGATTATATTTATTTCTGTACGCTAGCTCCGGAATTTCATATCGGTCCCAGTTCCATCAGTGAAGACCGGGGGGTCAGCAAACTTGTAAGGCTTAGTCTTCGATTTCACCTCTGGTGCTTCCGGGCGAGGAGTATCACGGTTGATACTGAGTTCTCGCGAGAACTCGTCTCGTTCTCGCCGGAGTCTGTCTCGTTCTCGATAGAGTTTGTCTCGCTCTCGCCGAAGTTCATCTCGTTCTCGTTCGGTATCCTGAAGTTGACGCAAGTGGAGGTTTACGACTCTCTGGACCTTGTGTAGGTCAATTCGGTCTTGTTCCTGCTTATCGAGCTTCTTGCGGACAGCATTTAAGTTTGTCAGCTATATCGCCTTGGATGTCGAACAGCCGTTCATATCGCTTCGGGTTATCCTGTAGGTACTCCTGTAGATCGTGGGGACGGTCAAATTCGATGAAACCATCCTGTTCCTCAGGACCCATCTCTGGGAGTATGGAGTAAGTAAAGATGAACGATCGTAGGTCATTCTTCGAGGTCTTCGAGAGCCTCGGGGTCTTTGGCTTCGGGGTCGGAGAGACGGGAGGTTCAGATTCCTCCTCGCTCCCATCACCAAGTTGCTCGTGACTGATAGCAGCGTCAGAGAGCACCTCGGGTTCGGGTTCGGGTTCAGGTTCGCGCTGAGGCTTCTTGCCTTTGGCGGTTGTCGGACGGACCATGGTAATTCGTCAATTTGTTAATCGATAGGGATTCGTCGATGGATGGGTGCCAAGCAGGCTTAGCGTGTGGGGGATGTGAGAGATAGGACGCGATCTGATTTGTCGAGACGAGCGTTCGAATGGAGGCGAGTCTGTACGACTTCAGACGACGTGCAAAGCTTTATTATAATGTAAGGACTCGAGATAAAAGAACTTTCATGTAGTATTGCAGAAAGTACTAAAGCTAAAGAAAGGAAAGAGAGGTAAGCTCTCACGGTTGTTATGGTACAGATGGAACGAACGGGTGAGGATCACGTGATCCGACACGTGACTCCGACAGCATCGGTTCGTCACAAAGGTACAAATATCATAAGATGTTGGTCTGACACTCCAGCGAGCTATCCATCTCAACAAAGGGTAGTGGACCCCACAATTTCAATTCCTTCTTTTCTCTATATGCGCAAGGTTTCTCAGACTAATAACCCTAAGAAGCCCAAACACAGCTTAGTTGGCGTAGCACTTGACAGAGCTTACTCTGTCAGAGCTGATGTCATTGTTGCCGGGGCTTTGGATATCGCCGGTGCCACCGCCATTGCAGACGGTGGAGCTGTAGGAAAGTACAAATCAGCCAGGATCTCCTCATTAGAACACAATAGAGAGCATTTACCTCCAGAAGCGACAGCGGTAGCCATTAGGGATGCTAACCGACTTAACATTCTGGTTGACAGGACTGCCGTTCAAAGAATCTGTACGCAATCAATGGATTAGCTTCCAAGGTGGCGGTTGACTTCGCTTGAAGTTTTGAAAGGCTGAAAGGGAGCAAAAATAGGGATTGGGTTATGGTGAAGGAGGCCACTAACGGCAGTCATGCTGAGCGTAAACTGTAGCATCAATACAGTTTCCTCCCAAGTTGGTGTCGTTGCAAATTTTAATGTCAACTCCGGCTTCTCTCGCCTGGATTTCGACGGGCTCGGCGCTAGGCGCGGCGGTGGCGCCGCCAATGGCGGTCACAAGCATCAGGAAGGTAGCAGTGAAACGCATAGTGAATTGTTTAAGATTGTTTGAATAGTAGGCAAGTGATCTTAGAGAAGTTAGATACCCTCATCATCTCAAAGACGCTGCATTTTATACATTTTTTTGGCCCCCAACTGAGGTCCCCGATGAAGACTCCAGTATAGCTCATGTGCACAAATTACGGATGAGCTAACAATTGAGGTTACAACAACAATGCCGGGTTTTGCCTTCAGCTCACTTATTTGAGGTTGCATTCACTACTAGCCCTGTGCTAGACCTGGCCCGGACCCTCAATTTGGACGCGCCAAGACGCCAAGGAGGGTATAAATTTTGACCTTGGACTCTCTTAGGTACTAATTGAAGGCATAAATAGACCTATATAGGTAATTTCTGCTTATAAATCGTATTTTATGCACGCCTATGTAAAAAGGGACCCTCCGGCCAGGTCTACCCCGGGCCAATAAGAGAAAATAGCGCACTGGCGGACCAACACCCGGAGCGGTGTGGGTACGACTGTTATAGGGAATTGTGTACACACTTCGCTACATTGAAAAGGGGACGGTCCATATAGCCATTTAGGGTGTTACGCCTAGTACTGCTCTATCGACTCTTAGGAGGTAAATACATCCGACATATGCGATTAGGCCTAGTACAAAGTGAATGTGATAGCGGTGTAGGGTGAATCTTTATGAGACCCCCTTCATAAACATGCACCTAATTCGTCATCGGCTCCCTCGGAAGAGCCGCGGGGCAGGCGATCCACCCTTGCACCGCATTAGTGCGAGGGGGCGAACTATTAGTCCTTGGCCATCAACACAAACAGCACAAACTATAATGTTTGGGGTCTAAACCAGGGGGCTGTAGGCGCCCGACTTTCCTCGGTGAGTTTGCCACTGTCATCGATATCCGGGCTAGGCTTTGGGATTGCGGGGCTATTGACCTGATTGCTTTTTATTGTGGTCACCCCTTCCCTAGGGTCTTCCTCCCGATCTGCTTAGCTTTCTGGCGTAGCCTTGGTGTCGTCCACGACAGGTTGACCATACTTAAGTCTAGGCCCCGCCTAAGGGTGCTGAATTCCCAGCAAATCTGGCGAGGGTGATAGCGAAGCCCGTACGCAAGTAAATCCGACTTCGGGCGAAGTAGGATCCTTGTTGGCCTCGTCGCAAGCCCCCAACGACGGAGTCTGAACTTATTTCTCAAAACACCGCCAAGTAGGAACGCTGTATTAGCGCATCGCCACACGGATGTTATATGCCCTATTATAATCCACACTTACCGACTACGTTAGTTAACTAGTAAGTGTAAGTTAATGGGAGGACCCTTCTCGAAGATGAGGTAATCAGGTTGATTTGAGCCCTAACGTAATTCACGGGCGAGTGGGCCTAGACCTGGCACTCACCCGCCCAGCGGGTCCAAGATCAGGAACCTCTACCCGCACCTCCGAGGGTCAGGGTCCAACCTCACCGACCCTGACCCTGACCCTGACCCTCCAAGGGTCCCTTGAGGGTCACCCGTGGAGGGTCCGTCGGACCCTCAAATATATAATTTCTTCGCGCCTTTCCTATTTCGGACGCACAAAATTGATGATTTAGCTTATAAAAATACTGTTATTTACGGCTGTTCTAGTATTCATTTCTATTCTTTATTAATCGTACACTAATATCTACGAAATTTAGGGAAATTAGATTGTAAATAGATAACTTATATATCGTTACCTTAGTGTTCTGAATTATGACTCAAATTACGTAGTGGGTGGTTAGTTTTTAAGGGGGTTATAGAAAGTTAAGAGTTTTGTTGCGGAAATATATATTAAAGGTAGAGTGAGAGTGCTATATTTGTACGACAGTAAATATATCTTTTTTTTAACGCCCAAAATGCCCTAAATCGAAAGCTTTCTTCGGTTATAAAATAAATAGAGACTTATTTAAATAATTACTAATTTAGATTCCTCGTAGATATTCTAGTTATTATACGAAATAAGTTTAAAGATCTTGTCGGCCGTGAAGGGAGGCGGATACCACGAAGCTTTTCGTGGCGCGGGGTACGCTTTTGTAGATGCTTCCCCACCACGGACCGTTGAACTATCCGACCAAGGAAAGGGTTGATCGGATAAAGAAAGAATAATAATAAGAATAAGATAGAGTGCAAAGGGCTTATGCACTCTAAATGAGTACAATCCACAATCCTCAAACAAAGGACTAAGCAGAAGGTCTTTCCAAGCAGATAGAAAGGGATAGTAGAATATTTGAAGAGAGTGAAAGGTCTGTTATTTCTACTTGGTGTCTCGCGCGTATTTATAGACAGAAAGTGGTCAAAGTCACATGCTTTATATCAGATAAACAGAATAGAATCAGGGAAGGAAATGTGATAGAACTGATGGCGTGATGAGGAATATGTCATCGATCTGGTGGGGTAAAGAGGGGTAAGCGGTTTGGAGGGGTAAATCATGTTCGCATCTCTTTCTTTTCTTGTTCTTCTTCTTCTTATGTTAAATAAGAGGATACCTTCACCAAATGTAGCATTGGTCCAAATTCCAACAGATAGTATATCGGCTTTATAAGCTATCCAGAACCCAAAAATTACGTTAGTACAATAGATTATCTATACTATCCTAGAATCGGCTAAGAACACTAAGTCAAATAGTATTATAATTCGCCTATAATAGATACCCGGATACTACGAGGACCCCGGTAATAATACCATAGACTAATTAGCCAGAGAAGTAGCTATACCGGGAAAAACCTATCCCTTCGCCCAATTACTATCTCGCGAGAAGGCCTTTATTTAGAGAGGGATCTACGCTTAGTAGGAGAAGGAATAAAAGGAATCCAGAATAGGTAGCCACCTCCGAAGAATCGATCACTCACTACCGGCTAAGTATATAAGGCGGCTTTACGGGCCGCTACTAAGGAATTAAGCCTATCTACTAATATAACTACGGACGGGACACTGTTAGTTAGCGATATATATAAAAGCGTTTCGCTTTTGTGACGACGATCTATACGTCTGCGGCGAGCGAGAGAGCGTCAATCACATTCTATTAGATTATCCGGATCTGAGAGGTCTGCGACGGGAGCTACGAGCGAAAGTAGGCGACGCTTTCAGTAGTGTGTCGACCTTGCTAGGGGTTTCGGAGGAAGGAAGAAGAGGTAAGCCTAATCATACCTCGCGTGTTAAGACGGTTAACGCTATCTTGGATTTCGCAGAGGCATCCCAACAGTTTCAAAGTCGCGCGCCATAAGGGCGGCAATCACAAACGGCATCTAGGCCACGACAAGCCTCGGCGAGGCTCTAAGTTCGTCTAAGAAGTGGTACATTCTACCTGTACATGCATGGTTATACATATATAGTTGAGATAGCCTGCACATCGCTTTCAATTTTGCGACGGGTCAGGGTAAATGAAGTCATACATACATACATACTGTACTATGTGGAATCTTGCCCTACGACAAGCGGCTCATCGTCAGCGAGTTTCCCCGAATCTTTTCAGCGAAACGAACCCTGTTTGCCGAGTGACCTACCCCTCACGATCTCAGGCGGGCAGTCCTCTGTGCCAGTCTTTCTTCGCTTCTCCGACACTTCTTTTTCACCTATGTCCCGTCACCCGCACGGTCTTTACAATGGCAATGAATATCCATAGCATCGGATCCCCATCTCTGCACTTTGTCAAAAGATCAGCGATCGAAGCAAGCCGGGCTGCGCGACTCCTTAAAGTCCCAGTGCAGATCAGAATTCCCCGACCTTCAATGACGACTTCGATGACTATATCAAGTCCAAGGCGCCAGATGATCCTCCTCTAACCCAAGCGACACGTGGCTCCGAGCATGCGACGCTTGTCGCTCCAAGAGATAAAAAGCGCGACGGGTTTAACAGGCCCGAGGTTTGTACAAATCCAGGCAAGAGATCAGATGGGAGGTTGGAAACTCAAATCAGCGTGTTCGATATATGCATCCCTGAAATGACTATCGGTACTAAGCACAAGAACTGTGGCCTCCGATGGGCTAAGTTCGACCATTCGAGGTGCCGTGGGGCTTTGGAATTTCAAAAAGTGGAGATGCATGTGTGCCTGATCAGATCCGGCATTCTTCCGAGCCGTCTGGCCGTAATGGGGAAGACGCTATGTATATTTTCCCTTGCTGTCTCTGTTGTAGTTCAAAGGAACAATGTATTGTTGTTTTTTTTTCATAGGGAAACATGAGACTATATACACAACTAGAAGATCAAGTTGATTTCCAATCAACCTGGTTCTTCGCATAGACACCTCAGGATTAATTCCGATGGTTCGGCTTGGTTCCTGATCTGCACCAGCCTCATATTACAACAGTTACAGATAGAAGACCCTTTTGATAACATAAATTTAAGAAGCACATCGCCAGGCTAACAAATGTACTTGATGCGAGGTTAAGAGCGTGGTCTAGCGGCCTTTTAGATATTCCCAAATACAGCATACCAGAGGCCAATGTCTGTGAATTGGATAGACTCTTTGAAGCCAAGGTAAGCCCAAGAACGTTTGAAGAACTACATAATGGAGAATGGAGAATACTATTTATCGCATCTATTTCCCATTGTCTCGCGGGGTCGTCGAGAGAACAAGCTTTTCCCTAATCCAAAGTTTTTTTTTATTTTTTTTTACGTGCAAATTATGTTTAGGTCGAGGATCTAGTCGGTCCTGACGTATAGTTATCGGCATATTCAACCTTCTGATCATATTCCTCTGGCGTCAAACGACGCAGGTATCCACCAGCCAGCAAGTCCTTCACACTTATGTATGCCAAGAACTGGGTTCCCATACCCGGCTGCTCAAACCACGGAGCGATAGGTCCCAACCCGACTTCGAAACTCTTGGTCACTTGGTACACGTGATAGTTGTACGGGTAGTCGCCATCAAAGGTGTTGAGGTTGCTTGGGGGAAGGGATCGCTCAATATAGGGTGCGCCCAGGGCTGCGAGGAATGAACCGTACTCCGAGCCGAAACGATCGAGCTTCTGATCCACAGGAAGGGTAATATTACCCAAGATGGCAGCACCAGCACTGTTAATGACGAATCCGTTGCTCGGTGGATATTCGTAGGAATCGCTAGAATCGCTGGATCCGGCCCATTTTTTGAGGAATTCGACGGGGCATAGCTCGCCGAAGCGCTCGTAGGTGCGGAGCTCATTGTTCAAGGGGAACTTTCGGGGTGTCTTGACGGGCCCCAGGCGGTAGTCACCACAGACATAGGTGGTGTTTGTGGAGGTGATGCCGGCGCAAGGGTCTGAACCACAATGGGCGGGGATCTTGTACTGTTTATTCCCACGGTCATTAGAATCGAAAGTCAGATTGAATTGGCAGAGGTTGATCATACATCGGCAGCCCTTTGTGCTGTTGTAGGAAGGGCTGCAATAGGCGTGGCCAGAGTGCTAAGCACCGTAAGGGCTGCTGTGAAGTGCATGGTGGTAGGTAGAATTAATGGGAATGCAATGGAGTGAACAGAAATGGTCTGTGGTGCGAGAGGGTCTCTTTATTTCTATCGTACTCCGCACTTTCCGTGCTTTGTTTTGTTTTGGGCTTGGCTGAAAATCGAATCTGAATTAGTGCGCCCTGCATGACACTATTGCAAGCTATCCATTAGTGCCCGCATACCTTCAGCAGCAACTTGCAACATAGTTTCAAGCACGCGTCCATTCCGGGCATTCCTTTTCGACCATCGGCAAATATTAGCCAAGAGGATGTCTCATCGGAAAAAAAAAAATTTTTATCAATCAATGTAGTTTCCAGCAGCTGGCTATTTTTAGGCGCGATACAGCTCATCCCGTTTTTCGGCACACGATTGTCGAACGTGCAGCGGGGATCTGCTATTCATTAGGCAAAGCTATACCGGCGAAGATCCACACCCTCAGCTCTGACGAAGATCATGGCCTACTAAAACCATGTGGGACAGGGCAAAGTCTTCTCGCCAATCCTTTCAGATATTGTAAAACATATTCCCGATTCTTTGTTTATCTTGCCTCGACCCATTCCGACGTCCGAAGCTTGGCAGGCGATCAATAAAAAGGGATCGGTTGATTGGACTAGGAGTATACGTGTAAATAACATTGATTAATTGATTGGAACCTCCACCGCCACTTCCTAGTCAAGTATTTAAACGCCCAGATCATTCAATGTTATTATCCATGGATATATCTTGGGAGATTTGCGAGTCTGTTTGGCCTTGAGTTCCCAGTTTAGCACTTGAGGCATGCAGGGCTGAGAAGCCACAAGGAACCACAAGCAAACAAATCACACCGAAATATTATCCCTTGCTTAGGCTTGGGGGTAAGGAGGCCCTGGAGGTGCCTTTCGGCAGCCCTTGCCGAGCGGGCCGGCCCTTCCAAGGTTGAAGCTGTCCAACCCCCGAATTATTACATTTCTTCTGGTCGGCATGGAATTCATGACCATGGACTTTCAGGCCTGGGAACCCTTCACCAATCCAGAATCTCCGGTAATAGAAATAATTCTGAACATAAAAAACCCAGCATTTGAACCTAGTCGAATTTCACCTTCTGTCGAACTGAGGGGGTGGTATATTACCACTAAGGACATGGTTATTCATTAAGTGCCCATTCTCTCTTTGTGTCTGTATGGTAAACGGGGTACGCTCGGCATACCGGCGTCGTAACACGCTAGGAACGACTCCTGAGATCTGATAATGCTTCAACAGCGAGATCCAGCTAGAACACATATATGCATCTCAATGGTACACCTCAATACTAGCACATACCAGTATCTGTCAATCCGACATTTTATTCTGCCACACAGTTGGGGACGACATTACCTTAATTCGTCAGAGGCAAGACACTCGGATTATTAGAACTTCCGGGTTGGCTCCGCTAGGGCTCCGAAAGGAATAAAGGAATGCGAATAAGCGCATTATTCATATTCGCATTCATATTATTCATATCATGCATTTTGCGCGCATCCATGGTTTTTCCGCTTTCCCGGTTTTCGTATTACCTGTGGTTGTTGGCTGGTGATAGGTGATGCCTGTGATGGCGCGGGCGACCGTACCCTATCAAAATAATTCCTATATTTTCGATCCCGGTAACTACGGGTAACTCTTCTTGGATTAACCTAAAATTCTGGGAACACGGAAATCAACTATATAATTAAAACTGGTGAAAATTTGACTGGAAATAACCAATGAGAATACGCTTGTAATCGCTTTCCTAAATCGAAAACCCTGATTGTAATGGGGTCTCGCGGGCGGGTTCCAGCTGAGCGGGACCCAGAAAAAGTTGACCGGGACCCAGGAAATCGTGACTAATCCTGGGTCCCGCTCAGCTCCCATACCTGACCGGGACCTAGGAAATCCTGAGTCCCGCTCAGCGCTTATACACGATTTTGTGTAACTTGTACCCAAATTATACACTATTACCTAAGGGTTCAACCTTGGTTGAACTCCTACCTCTCTAAAACGCACTATATCTCTATACACCTTAATACAAAATAAGTGTAAAATAAATATTATCCTCACCTATTGTAGAACTCATTATTTAAGAGTATTATATATAGGTAGCTATGGAAACCATTAATTACGTACAAACAAAGCGAAATTCGAATTTGTTGTCCAAATTGTTAACAAAGAAGTGAAAATATATTTTTGTTAATATCACTTCCATCCTCCTTCCACTCTTTACATATCATCCATCTATATTATTTATCCTAAGAACGTATATTTACCTCTATCCTTGACGCGTCTTTTTATATATTTAACATATGTTAACTATCTTCAGTGTACTATTATAGCAAATCTTGCTAGCTATCCTAGCCTAGGCCTAAGCCCAGCTATGTTTAATAATATTTCAGTCTTAAACGCTACCAATCCTGACCTAATCATAGGGTACGTATATAGTATGTGGACGTAGGATATCTATAAAGTATATACTAAATATATCTAGGTCCGATCCCCAATAATAACCCTAGCTAGAAGCTAGCTACGTATCTCGTAGCCATCGTAAACAGTGCGAGAAAATATAATATTAAGGCCAAAGATATTCTGATAAATCCACCCCCTAACCTAGCTGTTGTTCTTAATAAGGAGAATACTGGCGTGTTAGTCATAGTGTAATATATTTAGCAGATGGTTGGCGTATACTGACTTAATGAGGAATAGTTATGATATTGTGGTCAATCCACCCGCGTAGATATGCGGAGTGGTCCTTCCTGATAGGCCTTTAATACGTCGATATATCCGCTAGGAACATCCTAGAGCCAGTAAGTACTTACGGAGTACATATGCTAAACGTATACTAACTATATAGAAATAATGCAGCCGTTATGCCTGATCGTCGCGTTAAAACTATAGTGGAAATTATTGCGGGCCAGAACGCTATTAAGCGTTAGGTCCTTTAGCTTGGCTGGCAAAGTGCCAATTATATACACAAGCCTAGTGAGATTCTGGAGGTGGAAAGGTGTGTATTGCTAAGTAAGTGTACGAAAGGATAGAAATATGCCTTAAGGGCGGTGCCGTATGGCAGAAAAAGTAGGGTAACGTGACCGTTCGTATCCCCATACAAGGCCGTGTTATCACATCCTCCCCCACTAGACGGGATCATGTCCTCAGGATACCCGAACATGGAAGGCATCAGACACGAACATGCCAGATAGTGGCCACGTACCAGCAATGTAACAAATAAATAATAACAACAAAGGAAACTGGTAAGACATGGGAGCGTTCGTCCTCGAACGTCACCAAGTCTGCATGTATATGGTGAAAGGACATCACAACAACATTCGGACGCGTACATAAACAAAGGACACGCGCGCGAATGGACGCGTCAACAATGAATACATAAAGGTAAACACGGGCGCCGACATAAACCCTCGAAAGTTCGGGTCAGTCCGCGGCATCTTGGTGATCCGGGGTGGCACGTGACCTGTCAACAATTAAGCTCGACCAATTGGAGCCGTTCGTTGTAGATCACGTCCGTAGCAGGATCAACGACAAGATCAACAAGATCAATAAGATCAACAAGATCAATAAGATCAATAAGATCAGTGGGATCAATGAAGTCGCGCGTTTGCGCAGGATCGGAAGTGAATCAGAAAGGCCCGATTAGGAGAATCACTTCATCGTGCGCGTTTGTTGCTTTTTTTTTTTTTTTTTTTTTTTTTTTTGTTTTATGTCCGATTATGCAATCAAATTGTTTGAGTCATGCGCGAACGCACACTTTCACTGTAACAATCTAATTCGTAGACCGCGATGGTATCACAACCGCAAATGGTCCATCGAATAGTTCCCGTTCGCTTGTATCAGCGTCCCGATATTGCGAAACTCTTGTATGAGAAACGTCTTCCTCATTGTCCTCGGCCGGCGATATAGAAGCTTCGGATTCGTAGTCGTTCGCCTCCGAATTCCATTCGTCCGAGTCCGATTTCTGCTGCTCAGCCTCTGCTGGTAGCGTTCGTCGACGTCGTGCTTTTGCCCTTTGTTTGGCAATAACACGTCTTGTAGCTAGCTCCTCCCCCACTGAATCAAAGCGTGCGCCTGAACGCTTGAAATCTTCCCACTCTTTCCTGGTAAAAGTGGATAGATCTGAATAGTTGGGGAGATCCTTATCAATCTCCAGGATCGTGCGGACCTCTTCGGGTCGCTCAACCTGTATTCGGGCCCGACGTAGGGCCATACGGGCTGCCGAGGATGTCCATAACGTCGTTGGATCATCCACGTTCGCTTCCAGCAACCTTGATCCATTGATAAGCGTACGGAGCACATGGCCGTTAGGCTCCGCCAAAGCATAAGTCCCGAGCGGGTGGGACTGGAGGACCTGATAGGGTCCGAACCACTTGCTTTCAAATTTCTTCCCGGTCTCGTTCCGAATCAAAACCCAGTCGTTCGGCTGGAAGCTAGTTTTCGTGACGAGGCTGTCTCGTACACGCTTCGTCCTGATTGCTCGCGCAAGTAGCAGTTCGTTTGCTTTCGTGCGCGCATCGCTTAGGTTTCGGATAGCATCGGTGCGTAACGCTTCCGTTCCTGAGCCATCGGACGGATCACTGGGGATTCGCGGGTGAACTCCATACACCAAATAGAATGGACTGAATCTAGTAACAGCATGTTCGTGTACGCGCGTAGCGAACAATGCTTGCTGTAGATATAGATCCCAAGCCCTCGTTGGCTTATTCATTAGATACTTAGTAAGCATCCGTCCAAGAATTCCATTCAAATTCTCCACCTTCCCGTTCGTACGGGGGTGATAAGGAGTCGTCGTCCTATGCCGAGTCTGTAGCAACTTCACAAAGTAGCGTACGGCTCCGGCTAGGAGGTTTCGGCCATTATCGGAAATGATCTCCCTCGGCGCACCATAGTGCACGAAGATCCTTTCGAAAAGGAATAGTCCGATCGCTTCTTCGGTGGCATCCTTCACCGCTTGTGCGACAGGCCAACCCGTCGCATAATCGATTGCAGTGATTATC